AACCCGGGTCGGCCGTGTGCAAGGCAAATGCCCCACCCACTGTGCTATCTCTCCAACCCCAAGGACTTCATTTTAAAAAGAAAAATGTAATGGGATCACATTAAACTATGAAGCTTCTGCACCTCGAAAGAAACAGTGACCAAAATACAGAGAGAGCCCACAGAATTGGAAAGAATATTTACCCAATATCCATCAGATAAGGGGTTAATATCCAGGATATGCAAGTCACTAGTAGAACTGTACAAGAAAAAAACCTCCAACCCCATCAAAAAATGGGGAGAAGAAATGAACAGAAGCTTCCTCAAGAAAGAAATACAAATGGCCGAAAAGCACATGAAAAAATGCTCTACACTGCTAATCATCAGGGAGATGCAAATCAAAACAACAATGAGATATCATCTCACACCAGAAGAAACTGGCACACATCAAAAAGAACAAAGCAACCAGTGCTGGCATGAATGCGGGGAGAAAGGGATGTCCTTTCACTGTTGGTGGGGATGCCGACTGGTCCAGCCATTTTGGGAAACAATATGGACAGTCCTTCAAAAACTAGAAATTGAGCTTCCATAGGACCCCGCAATACCACTTCTGGGAATAAATCCCGAGGGTGCAAAAAAGCACAGTAGAAATGACATCTGTACCTACATGTTCATTGCAGCACTGTTCACAACAGCCAAAATCTGGAAACAACCCGAGTGCCCGAGAACAGAGGACTGGTGAAAGAAACTTTGGTCCATCTACACAATGGAGTACTAGGCAGCTGCTAGTAAAGAGGAAGTCATTCAAAGCTTATAAGTGGATGGTCATGGAGGGTATCATGCTGAGTGAAGTGAGTCAGAAAGAGAGGGACAGACATAGAAGGACTGCACTCATGTGTGGGATATAAAGTAACACAACATGAGACTGACAAGGACTAGGAATGTTGCTCCATGGTTGGCAGCTTGCCTCATGAGCTGGGGAAAAAGGCAGCTGGAAGAGAGAAGGGATCACTGAGAAAATGATGGCTGGAGGGATTGTTCGGGATGGGAGATGTGTGCTGAAAGTAGAGAAAGGACCAAACATGATGGCCCCTCAGTATCTAGACTGCAAACCATGATGGCCCAAAGTAGAGAGAAAGTAAGGGGGGAAAATGCTTGCCATAGAGGCAGGGGGAGGGTTGGGATGAGAGGGGATCCTGGGGACACGGGTGGTGGAGAATGGGCACTGGTGGAGGGATGGGAGAGACGGGTGTTCCGTCACTGTACGACCGAAACTCAAACATGAAAGCTTTGTAACTACCTCACGGTGATACAATGACAATAAATAAATAATAAAAACAAAAGTTTATTTCCCACTATCTGATCTAACTTCAAACAACTATTTTTAAAAATTTCCTTTCCTTTTCCCCTTTATTTTCTATGTCATTACTCCCTCTAGTGGAAGAAAATGTGAATGGCCAAATATGTTTCTGACAGGGTTTTCAAGCAAACGCAAAATATGCATTAAAACTTTTAACTTCCTCCAATGTAACCAGTAAAACGCTACTCATCCTAACTTTCATAGTAGTTGAATTTCCTACTGCCATTCAAGTCCCAGAAAGCCCACTTAAAATTTACTAATGGATCACGTCTCTTCGGAGACTTGGGAAATTTTTGACTCTTAGAAGTCTAGGATGGAAAGTGTCACATTAGCAGCAGACACTAGGTTTACTCATCAAATCTGATTTAAACATGCACGAACGGTCTAGAGTTCTTTCAACAGTATACCGCGCAACAATTATTTGGATAAAAATTGCTCACGAAATGCAACAGAATCCAATTCGTACTTTCCACATGTAAAGAAATGACTCGGTCTTGATGATTTTTCTCTTGTTTCAATCCCAACAACCTCAACCCTGGTAGCCTATTATGATCACCTAGGGCCTTTTAAATGATTTCTTGCAGGATACCCAAAACGCTGCTAATCTGACCTCATCAAGATGAGCACTCTGGGCCCGGGGGAGGACCTGGTTCAATGCCCAGAGCTAGTCCTGGGGCACTAGCGCCGCGGGCTCGAGCTGTTGCCCAGGGAGGGGGCAGCTGTCCGGGCCTCTGGCAGAATGGGGGGGGGGGGGACACACGTGTGAAACTCCACTTTCTCGCCCCCTCCCAGCTCTGCCTCCTAAGCCCAGAAGGTGCTGCTTACTGGCGGGGACGCGGGAAGGGGACGGCACTGTGACGGGTGAGGGACAGACACAGCGACACCCTGCCTAGCGGTATTCAGGATAGCTGGAGGAGGGATGCCACATCTTCAGGGGGGATGCCCAGGTCCACCCCGGTCGGCCGCAGGGTGCAGGAGAAGGAAAGAGTGAGGGGGGGGGAGGGGAGCAGATGAGGAGCAATGGGGTCAGCCAGGGGCTGCAGGCACAGAGCGCAGCTACGGGACGAGAGAGACACCCGAGACAAGAGTCACCAGCACCGGAGCCCGGCCACGAGCTGAACACCTCACCTCAGCGAGGGGCCTGGTGGTGGGGGCGCACAGGGGGCACCTGGGAACACTGGAGGGGGAGGGACACTGGCCACGGGGTCTCTCCCGCGATGTCAAAACGCAACTGTGAACAATTATGTAGACCAGGGCTTAGTTAGCACTGGAGTCTGCCCTTCCGTTGTTCATCAATTTGCTCGAGTGGGCACCAGGAACGTCTCCATTGTGAGACTTGTTGTTACTGTGTTTGGCATATTGAAACATCATGGGTAGCTTGCCAGTCTCTGCTGTGTGGGCGGGATACTCTCGGTAGCTTGCCGGGCTCTCCGAGACAGGCGGAGGAATCGAACCCGGGTCGGGTAGGTGCAAGGCGAACGCCCTATGCGTTGGGCTATCGCTCCAGTCCACGGCTTAGTAATAATAGTAAAAAAGAAAAGAAAATGTCAAGAAACAGAAGAAGGCGCTGCTCACTGAGGAAGCTGGAGACTGGCCCAGACCCCCGGCCACGTCCACGTGGGGGAACAGCCGCCAGGACAGGCATGTTCTCCACGGTCCCCTCCTCCCTCCTGCGACAGCCCAGAGCCCAGAGCTGCAGAACTTGGCTGCAGGAACAGGACAGCCCTGCCCTACAGGGTGCCCGGCTGTGCCCAGGGCGGAGTTTGGGGATCACGATGGGGCCAGTGGCCCCCCGGTCTGTCCCTTTACCATTGCCACACCCGGGAAGGCCTCAAGGTGCCCCAAGCACCAGTCAGTTGGCTTGGTCTGCGGCTGGCTTCGGGTCTCTGGCTTCTCGGGAGTTCCAAGTCCCAAGATTCTGGCCACGTCTCCCTCCTTTCCCACTACTTGACAATGGCCCTAGTCCAGTGAGACAAAACCTCCGAGGACCGCAGCCGTGTCACCGAAGAAAAACAAACCAGTGATAAAAAGCGATACTCCAAATGCAGAGAGTGGAGCAGATCACGAATTTAAACTTCTGTTCATCACATGTGGAAAGGAGGAAAGAAAACAGGGGGTTGACAGGATAGCACAGCGGGGAGGGTGGCTGCCTCGCACCCGGCCCACCCGGGTTCTATCCCCGGCATCCCATATGGTCCCCCAAGTACCGCCAGGAGCAAGCCCTGAGCGCTGCTGGGTCACTGTCACTGTCCTCCCTGAGCACTGCTGGGTCACTGTCACTGTTCTCCCGTTGTTCATCGATTTGCTCGAGCGGGCCCAGTAACGTCTCCATTGGAGACTTTGTTGTTACTGTGTTTGGCATATCGAATACGTCACGGGGAGCTTGCCAGGCTCTGCCGTGTGGGCAAGATACTCTCGGTAGCTTGTGTGACCCCCAAAAAACTTAAAGAAATAAACAATTCAGAGTGTATCTATTGAGCTGGGTCAGGGTTCAGGGGCTGAGCACACACTGCACAGAGATGGGTCCCGGGTCCAAACTCTGGGACCGCACAAGCCCCGGGTGGGTGACAGCCAAGAGAGGGTCCTGAGCACGGCCCCAAGAGCTGCCCCAGCAACGAGGCCGAGGCCCCAAACCACACAAGAGACCAGAAACATCAAAGCAGGAGAGAGTGTTTCCCCCGAGAAATGAGCTAGCGGGAACCCGGACTGAGGTCAGCTCCCAGACAACAGGGAAAAGGCAAAATACCCCAGAACGTGTCATAAAGGACTGATAACCACATAACAAAATATCCCAGGAAGAGGACAAAAGATGAGATGGCAGTTGAAATGATGGAGAAAAATTCTCTTAAACAAGAAAAAAGAAAACCCCATGGCAAAGTTCTAAATGAAAGGAGCCAACTCTGAAGGGCCCCAGGCAGAAGGGAAAAGGCATTTCCGAAATTAGAGCCAAACTCAGAATAAGAAAGAGATTTCAATAGTTGCTTTAGCGGGAAGCAGACACTGAGCGTTTACAGACAGACCGACAGAACCGTGAAGGGCAAGAAATCTTCACGTGGCAGTTTCTGCAGCAGATCTAACACTCAAAGGAAAAGAAATAACCGGATTTCAACATTCACGGAGCATGGTCAGGTCATAACCAGATCTCAATGTTTCCGGAGCATGGTGGGCAGGACACTTGCTGGGCACGCAGGTGGTTCCGGTAGGATCCCTGCATCACAAAGGGTTTCTTGGGCCCCACCAGGAGGGATCCCCAAGTGCAGACACCAGGAGTGAGCCCTGAGCAATGCTGGGTGGGACCCCCAAATCAAAAAAATAAAATAAAATGTTTGTGGTAGGAATGAAACAAGGACATAACGGTCAGTTAAGCGTCCAATACACCAATGTTAATAGTTAAAAGGTGATTTTGAATCAATTAAGGTGTCTTCTATTCCTATTTAGGCTACTGTTTTCAAGGCTATCCCAAACCTGTCTCCTGCAGGCAGTTTTCTAACGGCAGTTCGGCGAGCGTCGGCTGCTTTAACCATCCTTCCGATACTCAGGACTAGAAGCGGAGTGTGTCCACTTACTGCTGTGTCTCAGGACTGTTCCCCAACATCCCACCGAGGGGAAGGCCCTTCGTCAGCTCTGCTCCCACAGGCTAAGCCTTCTTCCGAGCTGCTTACCTGGTCAATATCAGCATTTCTTGGAAGAAAATAAACAATATTATTGGTGATCTTCTGGGAAAGTCTAAAAACTTCAAAGGTGAAGAGCAATTAAGGAAAAGTCACAAAAAAACGGGTGAATTTCAGATCAGTCCACTATATATTCCTTGGCACCTGCCTGTGTCTGCAAATGGAAGAGGAAGGGACAGACACCCTGAGGCCTCTGCTGGAACCCAGGGCAGGGCTGGGTGGGGGCTGACCCAGCCTGCACGCTGGCCCGGACAGGTCAGAACTCAAGCGAGATCCCTCCCATCAACTGAGACCTTAGGTGCGTAGGACCTACAGACTATTGTTTCGGTGGTCTCTCAATTATTGTGGAAACAGGAACATGAGGCGAGTAGAACGTCGCCTTCCCAGGAAACCGCCAAGACTCACAACCCTGGCCATCACATTTTGCATTTAACATCTTTCTTTTTTTGGGTCACACCTGGCAATGCACAGGGCTTCCTCCTGGCTCTGCACTCAGGAGTCATTCCTGGCGGTGCTCGGGGGACCATATGGGATGCTGGGAATCGAACCTGGGTTGGCCGCGTGCAAGGCAAACGCCCTACCCGCTGTGCTATCGCTCCAGCCCCGCATTTAATAGCTTAAACTGCGATTCAGACACGCTTCCTTTCCCAGCCAAACCTGACTCTTCGGGGAGGAGAGCCAACAGTGCACGCTTTTGTTTCTGCAGCAAAGGTCGGCTGTGGCTGGATCTGGGCCGAGGAACAAGAAAGACTTGAGCCACACGGAGAAGGGGCAGTGAGTGCCGGGTAGGAATTTCGAAGAATGGTCGCCCTGAGTCTAGGGGAATTCCTCATTTCCAGACAATCATTCCAAACAACGGATACTTTCTAATTCTTGTTTTAGCAAAACCCCACAGGAACCCAAACTGGCCATTACTTTTGAGGGCAATCGCTACTTCATTTTTTTTTTTTTTTTTGCTTTTTGGATCACACCTATTGATGCACAGGGGGTCCTCCTGGCTCTTCACTAAGAAATTACTCCTGGCAGTGCTCGGGGGACCCTATGGGATGCTGGGAATTGAACCTGGGTCGGCTGTGTGCAAGGCAAGTGCCCTAACTGCTGTGCTATTGCTCCAGCCCCTGCTTCATTTTTTATTTATTTTTTGCTTTTTGGGTCACACTGAGTGATGCACAGGGGTTACTCCTGGCTCTGCACTCAGGAATTACTCCTGGCGGTGCTCGGGGGACCCTATGGGATGCTGGGAATAGAACCCGGGTCGGCCGTGTGCAAGGCAACGCCCTACCCACTGTGCTATCACTCCAGCCCCCTGCTTCATTTTTTAATGTTTTCTTTTTTCTTTTGGCTTTTTGGGTCACACCAGTGATGCACAGGGGTTACTCCTAGCTTTGCACTCAGGAAATCAATCCTGGCGGTGCTCAGGGGACCACATGGAAGGCTGGGAATCAACCCGGGTTGGCCGCGTGCAAGGCAAACAAACACCCTACCCGCTGTGCTATCACTCCAGCCCCTTAATATGTTTTTAATGCTAAAAAATTGGAACCTTATTAAGTGCTCTAGCTGATAACTCTTCTTTCCATTTACCCTCCTCCCTTTTCTTCTTTTCCAAGACCCGGGTCCAAGTAGTCATCGCCGCCCCCTGCCCTGCGGCTGTCCACAGGACACTGAGCCCTCAAAGGATATCCGTCCGGGGACATCATGGTCCTGATGTCGAAGATCTCGGCGGTGGCATAGTCGGGCCCGCCCCACGGAGGGCTGAGGAACACCACGTCGGCCTTAAGGTCAGGCGCCAGCAGCAGGAAGTCTCCGCAGATGAACTCTATCCTGTCCGCCACCCCGTAGACCTCTGCGTTGTTCCGAGCAAGGTCGATCTTCACGGGATCAATGTCGATCGCGATCACTGAAAGAAAGGGGCGAAGAGGCGAGAGGAGTGGGGTGACACGAACGTCGGGTCACCCCAGAGCTTGTCTGCTGGGTCTCCTGCTCATCTGCTGTGCAAGAATGCCAGTCACTGAAGAGAGGCTGTCACACATGCCAGAGAGAGACTTGCATTGCAGTTTTTAGTGTAATGCAGTGAAGGTTCACCTGTGCTACAGAAGGAAAAGGAGCATGAAGGACGTGCTCTCAAAAGTTAGCTGGGAACCAGGGATAGTACGGTGGGGTAAAGTGCGTGCCTTGTATGCGGGGGACCTGGCTTTGATCCCCAGTACTGCATACGATCTCCCACTAGGCTGCCAGGAGGGATCACTGAATGCAGAGCCAGGAGTCACCCCTGAGCACTGCTTGGCAGGACCAACACAACCCCCCCCACTGCAAAAAAAAAAAAAAAAAAGCCAAACACTGATACGTGGGGCTGGAGAGATAGCATAGCGGGGAGGGCATTTGCCTTGCACGCGGCGAACCCGGGTTCGATTCCCAGCATCCCATATGGGCCCCTGAGCACCGCCAGGAGTAACTCCTGAGTGCAGAGCCAGGAGTAATCCCTGTGCATTGCCAGGTGTGACACCCCCCCCCCCCCCCGGAAAAAAAAAAAGACACGCTTAAACCATGACGGGGCTGGAGAGGCTGGTCATGCACATGGCTGACCCAAGTTTGATCCCCGGCATCCTGTAACGCATCCTGAGCACCGCCTGGAGTGATCTTGGGGTGCAGAGCCAGGAGTCAGCCCTGATCCCGGGGTACAGACCCAGGAGTCAGCCCTAAGCATTGTTGGATGTGTCCCCATCAAAAAGAAGGATTTTTTAATGAAATGCTTACTACTGTTATTTTCATTGTTGGTATTAAGTTACTACTTGTATACTGAATCTCATCCAGGAGAGGAAGTGTTTACTGGCTAAACGGAGAGTAAAATCAAACAGGCGTTTTTTTGTTACTAGCCAGTTACCTTTCTTTCCGGTCAGGGCAAACTGGATGGTGTTGCCCCCGACTCCACAGAAGGCATCGACGATGACGTCACACTCGAAGGACTGACTGACACGGCCGGCAATGTGCTCGGCGATCTTCTCAGGAGTCACGGAGAACCAGCCCTCTGCAAGGAAGAGCCTCGCGTCAGACAGTCAACGCCAGAGCAAACACGATGCGCTTGGCTACTTTTCCTGGACTTCAAGAAAACTCAGTTTTCCTTTTCTTTTCCCCAAACAGTAAGAATCACCTCATTTCAAAGAGAAGTTCTCCCTAGAGTTAACGAAAAGAAGTCTCCTTCCCAACTTCCTCAGAAAGAGAAGTTTTCTCCTCTCCTGACAACTTCCTCAGGAGTTTGACTTTTGCCGAGTCTTGGACATGCCTCCCACACACGAGGAAAATTTCGACTTTTCTGAGAGGCAGAGATGAGTTTTTGGGAAAATGGAACATGGCTCACTGGCCAACTCCCCACACTCTAGTCTTTTTTTTTCTTTTTGGGTCACACCTGGCGATGCACAGGGGTTACTCCTGGCTCTGCACTCAGGAATCACCCCTAGCAGTGCTCAGGGGACCATATAGGATGCTGGGAATCGAACCTGGGTTGGCCGCGTACAAGGCAAACGCCCTCCCCACTGTGCTATCGCTCCAGCCCCCACTCCAGTCTTCTTAATAATTTCATTCCTCGTGGGGGAAACCATGAAATACACTTGTTTGAAGTTTTTTTGAATCCTGCAGGGGAGGCTCTCCCGACTTGGAGAGTTACCCGAAACTGGCCCGGGGGGGGGGGGGGGGCTGAGAACTGCAGAGGCCTAACCTCGCCATCAAACCCGGTGCCATCCCTGGTGACACTCCACCCCACAACCAAGACCTGGGATGACCCGGAGGCCTTGGGCTCCACCAAGCTTGGCTGGGAATTGCCTGAAGCTGCCGGCCAGGCTGAGACGTCCAGCAGAGGGCGCCAGGCCTCTGGAACACCCACTGGATGATTCTCTTCCCCGCCCCCCTTCTCCTGTGCAATCTCACCAGTGCCTCCACGCTCCCTTTAAAGAACAGATGCATCCCCGTCCAGTCTCGGAATGAACGTGCAGCCTGCACGGAGCTAGCCAAGCCACAGCAGGAAAGGGCGAGAAAGAACTCAATGTTACCCATATCTACTCATTAAACTATCTTTCAGAACTACATGGTCCTTCATCAAATTCTCTCTCTCTCTCTCTCTCTCTCTCTCTCTCTCTCTCTCTCTCTCTCAGGCCACACTCGGTGATGCCCAGGGACTACTCCTGGCAGTGCTTGGAGCAATATGAAATGCCAGGGAATATCGAACCCGGGTCAGTTGCGTGAAAGCCAAGTGCCTTGCCTGCCCTCCACTGGACTATTGCTTCAGATAAATTTTCTCTTTCCTGATCTTATCAATTGGGTTCGATTCCTTATGGTCTCCCAAGCAGTGCCAAGAGCCAGGAGTGAGCCCTGAGCACCGTTGGGTGTGTCCCCCCCCCCCAACCCACCACCATACACCTCACCTCGGTCCAGTTTAATCCCATCATCAAAACGCGAGAAGAGCCGGTACCGCTGGGCCCAGTACTTGGCCAGCTCGGGCACACTGGCGATCTCGGCGGGCATGCTTCTGGCCTTTTTGGCTTTGCTTTTCTTCTTCTTTTTCTTCTTTCCCTCAGCTACAATAAACAGGAATATGCAGAAAACAAGAGTGAAGCTCTAAGAGGTTCCCAGGGACCCGAAGGAACAGTCCAGCCCTGGGACCAATTATGAAGATTATATGAAGATGCCTCCCCCCATTCCCCATCCCCCTCTTTCAAATCACCTCCCCCAGAGGACGGGTGAGGCTCCAGGGGTCACAGCGGTTCTCTGAGCTGGGTCACGACTAAGCTGGGGACCACAAAGCCACACTCAGGCACTGAAACAGGTCGCCTGGGCCAGGCCCAGGAAGGGGCCGTCACGCCGAGGCGGGCTTTCACCCTGTCCAGGCTGCCAGTCAGCTGGGTGGCCTGCTTTCTGCTCCGAGCAGGTGACACTCTGCGGTTTAAGAGATGGCTGTGCCGCTAAGAGTCAGGACAAGAAGTGACGCCGAGGGGCTGGAGTGATAGGGGCGTTTGCCTTGCATGTGGCAAGGTTCAAGAAAGGCATTTTCCTCCACGACTGAGAAACTATAAAGGATCCTAATAATTTATAATGGTTTCATTAGAAAATGTTCAATGAAACAATTCAATAAAATGGAATTCTGTGCCAGAAAAAAATATTTTTACCATATAAAAGAGCCAGTGTTTCATTAGATACAAATGAAAACTAATTTTTTTTTTTTTAATTAGTTTTTGGGCTGGGCTGGAGCGATGGCACAGCGGGTAGGGCATCTGCCTTGCATGTGGCAGACCTGGTGGACCTGAGTTCGATTCCTCTGCCCCTCTCGGAGAGCCCGGCCAGCTACCGAGAGCATCTCGGTATATCTTGCTTGCAAAGCCTGGCAAGCTACCGAGATATTCGTTATGCCAAACACAGTAACAACAAGGCTCACAATGTTACTGGGCCCGCTAGAGTAAATCAAGAACGGGAGGACAGTGCTACAGTGTTACAGTTTTTGGGCCACACTGGTGGTGCTTTTTTTTTTTTTTTGGGGCCATACCTAGCAATGCATAGGGGTTCCTTCTGGCTGGCTCTGCACTCAGGAATCACTCCTGGCAGTGCTCAGGGGACCATATGGGACGCCGGGCATCGAACCCAGGTAAACTGTGTGCAAGGCAAACACCCTCCCCGTTGTGCTACCACTCTGGGCCCTGAATTAGTTCCCCCAGGTAGGCTGGAGTGGTATGTTTGCCTTGCACAAGGTCACCTGGGTTTGATTCCTGGCACCCCAACACTTCCCCAAGCCCTGAGCACTGCCATAAGTAAGTCCTGAGTACTGCCGGGTGGCGCCCAAAACACAAACAAGAATATTTTTTTCCCTAGGAAGGCTGGAGAGTAGAACAGGTTGGAGGCACGTGGCCACAGGGAGGCCTGCAAGGGTCCGAGCCCCGAGACACAGGGTCCTTAACCATGACCACGTCCAGTCGGCAGTGGGCACAGCAGACGCTTCATCACAGACCTCTGGGAGGGGCCCCCGGGGTATCCTGACCTGCCCTCTCCTCCCCCAAACTCCAAACCCAACCACCAGCACGGGAAAGAAGAAACCCCGGGGCTGGAGCGAGTCCAGCAGGTCCGGCCTGCCTGGTATGAGGCCCAGCAGGGTTCCACCCCCGGCACCCCAGAGGGTCGCCCCCAAGGAATAATTCCTGAGTGCAGAGCTGGGAGTGATCCCAAAACAGTCCTCCCCACTCCCGTGAAGGAAACCCAAGGAATCATCAAAAAGAAACACCAGGGCAGGGGGCTAGGAAGTGGCCCTGTGGTCCAGGGACAGGCTCAAAAGCTTCAGCTCCCAGATGAGATCGCTATTGACTCAGAATCCTCAGGCGGGAGAGGGAGCGGGTAGGCGGAGGAGAGCTGTGACTCCTGAGGCAGAGGTGGCCTGTGACACCCCAGGACTTACTAATGTCCTCAGTCGGGGGCTGTGCTCGGCCTTACCTTCTGCTGCCATCCGCGGGGGGTCGGGTGCGTCCTGAGCACTGCAAGCCAGAGCATCCGTGCCAGCCGCCACCGTGCTCCCTGCTTCAGTGCTCTCTGCCTCTGGGTCTCCAGCGGAAGCTAAGGGGCAGCTTTCCTGTGCCTCTTGGCTGCTGGTGTCCACTGGACCCTCCCCACTTTGGACGACTGTTTCCTGCCCTTCGGAGTCGCTGCTGGAACAAGCGTCCTGAGAGTCGGGCCCTGGCGAAGGCTTCGCGTCCAGCGGCTCACTGACCCGTTTGAGGAATTTCTCCACCTGGAAATGTCGAACACGAGTGAACAGATTCTGAATCACAGTGGCTCTGACAACGCTCTCACATCAGCTACCCCGAGCAAGGGATTCCCAACAAGCGTCACCTCCTTTTCCGCATGGCCCTGGAGAAAATATCCTTCTGGGGGAGGCTGGAGGGAGTACAGATGTACGGGCTGGCCGTGTACACAGCTGACTCCAGTTTGACCCCTGGCACTACCCTGGGTTTCTGGACCACTGCTGGGAGTGATCCCAGAGCACGGAGCCAGGAGTCGGCCCTGAGCACCACTGGGTGTGGCCCCCTCATACAAAAACAAAATAATCTTCCCTTGAGGGAAAAATAAGTGTAACTGTTTTCAGCAGGAAGTATGAGAAGAAAAGAGAGAAAAGAAGGAGCTTCATAAGAAAGAAAGAAAAACACATGGAGAGGACCGCTACTGTGCTCAGGGCCCACTCAAGGCAGTGCTCAGGGCTCACTCCTGGCGGTGCTCAGGAGATGAAATATGGTGCCAGGGATTGACGTGGGTGATTCCACGGTATAACGCGTCAAAAATGCATTTAAAGGGAAAAAAACTCAAATCAACACACATTATGTTTTAACGTAACATATAGTAACTTCCTGTTATCAATTGACACTAGAAGTATAAAGCAGAAATGCTCTTTCCATCAACTCCTGTGTTGTGCAATACAACAATTTAAAAGTGTCCTTATTAAGGAGAAGGGACCACCAAGTCAATGAAGGTTGGAAAAAATCATTTGGGATGGGAGATGTGTGCTGAAAGCAGATAAAGGACCAAACCTGATGGCCTCTCAGTATCTGTATTGCAAACCATAATGCCCAAAAGTAGAGAGAGAGGATGGGGGGAAACTGTCTGCCATGGAGGCAGGGGGAGGGGTGAGATGGTGGGGGGATACTGGGGCCATTGGTGGTGGAGAATGTACACTGGTGGAGGGATGGGTGTTCGATCATTGTATGACTGAAACTCAAACATGAAAGCTTATAATTGCATCTCACGGTGATTCAAATACACACACACACACACACACACACACACACACGGAAAAAAATGTTGTTCATTGGTTAGTCGTTGGTTTCTGTTTTTCAAGTCAGACAGGGAACTTCCCACCATGGCCAGGTCAATGTGTATGACACGGCGCTCGGCATCAGTGATGAACTCTTACAGACCGACTGTCAACCTGCGAGAACTTGAGCAGAGGCATCGGAACTCCATCAAGGCTCAGCGTCAGAGGACACTTGCTTCCCTGCATTTTCTTTAGTGAGAATATTTTCCTATTCCTAAAGCCAGTGGCGTAAAGTAAGAAAGGTGGACAATAACCCAGAACGTTCCACTGTGAGGCCCGTGCCTGACATTGGACGTATCCACGGGGCCGACGGCCACCCTGTCTCCTCGGAGTCCTCAGCACTTCACAGAGATGAACACGGGGAGATGCAACGGATTATCAAAATCCTGCACACCTGGTTAGGCTGATACTGGGACAGGTGCCTCAAGACAGGAGCAGGGGCGCTAAGATACCTATCACCCGACAGCCCGTGCACACTTACTGACGCACAAGAGTGTACGCGCTGCTACACTTTACCACCAACAAGCAACCGATCCAAAAGAGTAAAACCAGAGTTGGCAATAACCTGCAGCACGAACTGGAAGGACGTGAACGTCGGGGGGGCGAGTGTGCCCACAAGTGTAGAACCCAAGTCTTCCCAGGGTAAAGGCATCTTTGGTTTTGGGGTCCTGCCTGACAGGGCCTGGGGGTCATGGGCTGCTGGGACTTGAACCTGAGTCTACCACAGGGCTCCAGCACGCTGAGTTCTCACTCAGGTCCCGAGAGGGAGATTCTGTTCAACTGCCCGGAAGCACTCCTGGAGTTCACGCAACGGGATGCTCTTCCAGTAACGGGAGAACTGGGTCAAGTCAGAGAAGTTCCATCTCCTCCACCCCCGCCCCCCGCGGCCAGGTACAGCCAAGTGCCCCGAGCTGGAGAACATTCCAGACAACAAGGCGAGTCATCCCCTTTCCAGAGACGCCACCACCCTGCAGTTTCTCACCCCAACTCACTCTTCTCTGACTACAGCTCAGAAAACACATGCCTTCAGGAAGCAGGCAGGAAAGAATTTTCCGAAGCGTTTTCAGAAAGAAAACAGTGTTCCTCTTTGCAAACCTCCAGGTTAGGAGTCTATCTGGAAACGAACAGTATTGACACACACCTTACTCAAAGTCTTGCTTTTCTTCAAACCTCCTTTTTCTGACTCTTCGGCAAAGAAGATATGTGTGTTTTTCATATTTATTTGTCGTCGCATGTCCAAGAACTTCGACTTGTACTTCACGTTCTTCTGCAGGTATCTGACCTTTCGATGGCTGAAATCTGAAATTCCACCGTACCTGTGACCAAACCAGAAGAAGACGCCTGAAATCTTAAGTCTGATGAGCTTGTTTCTTTGAAAGGAGAGAATAAAACAGGTTTTGCCATTTTTCTATCAGCAGTTTCATTTTAGTTGTTTTTCTAAATACAAACATTAGGAAATAAAGTTCCAAGCGCAGAGCAACGAGGACTAGCTGGGTTGTTAATTCTCAAGTAAACGTGGAAGAGCGAAGATAGGAACAACGACCTATTGAAAGCAGAAATTCCAAAGCAAAATTTGAAAAACGACATATAGCCTGTTGCATGCTGAGAAAGTTATCATTTTTCTTGTGGTAAGGGGGATACCAACACTTTATACAGACAAGGGGAAATTTAAACCATTTAAATTGAATCATTAAATTTTCTTTTGGTGCGGGATGGGATGGGGGGGGCAGGTGGGATTGGGCCTCACCTGGCAGAACTCAGGGTTTACTCTAAGCTCAGTGCTCAGGGCTCACTCCTAGCAGAGCCTAGGGAATCATGTGGTACTGGGGAACTCTCTGCTTCAACAGCAAGGGAAGCATCTAACCCGCCGCACCGTCTCTCCCGCACCTGAACTCTCGGAGCAGATCAATCGGAGAACTTTCCCGATTACCAAAGAGATGAGAGAATGTGTGTGGAGCTCTCCTTCGGAATCCTGCCAGCCCTCACGACCTGCTCTGAAACCGCCTCTGACCACATCAAGTCTCCTTTCACTGCCTCTCCTGCCTACGCACTCTTAGATACTTGGCGGCAAAATAGAAAACTTAGCCGTCATATTAGAGAAGCGTTTAGCCATATTACAAATTTTATACAAAGCATTATCTTCTCTTCAGGGTGCTCTAACTAAAAGAATAGCCAAGGGCCGGAGCAATAATATAGTGGGGAGGGCCTTTGCCTTGCATGTGACCGACCCGGGTTCAATCTCCAGCATCTCATATGGTCCCCCCAAGCACCGCCAGGAGTAATTCCTGAGTGCAGAGACAGGAGTAATCCCTGAGCATCACTGGGTGTGACCCCCAAAAGCAAAATAAATAAATAGAAGAAGAGCTAAGTTTAATTCCAGAATATCCATCTATAAGTGGAGACTAGCAAGAGTCACCGGGTAACTTTGCAATGAAATAAAATAAAAACTTTGCAATAAAATAACGTAAATAAAATAACATAAATTCTGCCAGGAATTTAAACATGGCAATATTAGGAAAACCTTCTATCGTAGCAATCTTTATGTACTTTAGCCTTGAAATGATTACAATGAACTCTGATCACTCTGAAATACCATGGGACAGAAAGCTATTAGAATAGCGTTCTAATTTTGGACATGCAGTTGCAAACTAATTGTATTCGACTTGATGACAGCGTATCTTTAGAGGTGGGGAGTAAGTCAGGGCCTCCTCACCCCTGCCCAGCCTGAGATCAACCACCGAGTCACAATTTCAATCCATGAACCCTGCCCGTAAGACAACCCTGAACTCTCTGCCCTTTCGTGCCGGTTCCTACATAGGCGATCCGCTAAAACTGAACTACTCACAAAGGAGGTCTCAGCCCTTAGAAACGTCAGACCTTGATCTTGACTTAAATCACTAGGTGCAAGGTCGGGAGATGGCCAAGTGGCAGAGCACAAATCTCATAATCTCATCGCCGGGAGGAACCCAATGGTCTTTCGTGTGCTCTTAGGCCTCAGCTCAGTCTTCATGGCGAATGCAGTAGGCCCGTGAGTTGAGCAGACTGTCTGGGCGTTTAATCCCAGACAGAGAACATTTTATCTTCCATGCATGAATGTTCAGACAGTTATAGTTCTAACAGAATACTTTCAAGAGGTACTTAAGGTCAACACTCTCTCTCCCTCCCTCTCTCTCTCTCTGACCTTCAAAGGATGAAGGATTGAACTATGGTTGAGCTATTATAGCGCATGCATGGCTGTACCCTTGATAACCTGTAGGGCGTGAAGGGCTCCAGAACCACGCTGGGAAACTACCGAGGTCCGGTGGACACGCAGGGCTGCCCGAGAAGACAGGCCCCTGAAAGGACCCGGGAGAGGTGTGTGCTGGGCGGGGGGCGGGGGGACGACGGTCAGTGTACATCGATGAGGGGCTGAAGGGGTGTCCTGTGTGTCTATGACTATCACCATGAAACACATGGGCAGGTGAGGGGCTCTGGGCCCAGCGCTGGCTCTGACAGGCAACGACCCGAAGGGAGGATTCCTTTCTGTTATTCGTAGCAATTGGGTTTTCCTAATCCTACAATCAAGGAAGAAAAAAAGGTCGCCGCAGATTGGAACTTTTCCTGGCTTGTGCACCCAGTGCTTCAGGTACGTACTGAATACACGTGAGAGGCACGGGGAGATAAGAACTGAGCTTAGAAGCGTCAGGAGTCGGGTTCGAATCCCCTTTCCCGAGAAGTGGTACGACCGTACCAAATCACAACCACAAAGGCTGGAATACCCCGGGTAGCTCTGTGACACCCGTCTTAGACACGCCGTGCAGAGTAGCTCCACCGTCACCACTGAGAGGAGAGGGGAGTGTTTCCACGGCTCCAACTAACATGACATCAGAGTCACAATCACTCGCAGGTATCTGCGTGTTGGGGAGCTTCAGGCTAGCTGCCGTGGGGGGATTTGTGGGTGACAACCATTATTTATCTAGCATTACTTTTGTCCGGAACCATGCATGAATCCGAGGAGCGCGCCATCGTCATCGAGGTCGGAATCCGGGCTCTCATCCACTTCCAGTTCGTGGCTAAACAAATCAGGAGAAGGAGAGAGTGATGAGGTGGGGTGACTCAGTCTGCCCACAGTTCCTGCAAGCACCCAAAGGCCTGAGGGCTGTCCGCCTTAGTTCACGGTGCCAGAACGCCAGGGAGACGGGGACCTGAACCAGGTTTCTCCCAACGAGACAAAGCACTGAGCGCTGTCTGCACACAGTAATACCCACAAAGCCCTTAAGTCACGCCACACCGGGGGCAGGGCAGGACAGCTGTGGCCTTCAAACCTCTCTTTTAGAGTGGGATCCTTATATTTTCTTTGAAAGCGAGCAAGGAGGGGCTGGAGAGTTGGGCCAGGGGACAAGGGCTTGCCTTTACAGGATCTTGGGCACCAAATCTGGTTCCCTGAGTATGGAGTCTGGAGCAAGCCGTGGGCCCCGCCACAGACAAACGAAGAAGGAAGATGGGGCACTGTGAGATGAGCCAACTCTACCCTCCCAGAGACACAGAGAAGGCGTCGATGCCCTCGGACGAGAAACGGTGGCAGGACCCGAGGAAGGTCTCGGTTTGACCTGCCTCAAAGAGCCCAGGGTCTTCCTGTGTGTCCAGCGCTTCTCTCGTGACCGTAATCTACCAAGCACACCTGGACAGAAGCACGCAGGCCAACGACTCTTGGGAGAGGGGAACGTGGGAACTGCCATTGCTCCCCCAGAGGGAGAGCTTCCATGTCACCCGTCCCCACAGACAGGACCACGCACACCCACACTTTTCTGGAGAGGGACCGTGTGACCCGTCACGCAGACATTCTCTGCAGAGGAAACGTGTGACTTGCCTCCTCTTTTTTTTTTTTTTAAATTTTTATTAGTGAGACACCATGAGGTACAGTTGTAGACTTACAATTTTTTGTGCTTGGATTTCAACAATTATACAATGGTCAAATATCCATCCCTCCACCAGTGCCCATTTTCCACCACCACGGATCCCAGTATCCCTCCCACCCCCCCTTCCCCCCCATCCCACTCTGCTTCTGTGGCAGGGCATTCATCTGGGGAACATAAAGTTAACAAAATAGGAGACTAACACCCAGGAATGGCCGAGATTTAGTACCAGGAATTTTACTCCATGGCTTGGAGGCCAGCCACACATGCTAGGGGGAAAGGCAGCTCAGATAGAGAAGGGAGCACCAATAAGGGGTGTTGGGAGGATCCTCCCAGGATGGGAGAAGTATGCTGAAAGGAGACTACAGACCGGACATGATTGTCACCCATTGCCTCTTTTGCAAACCACGACTTGCCTCCTCTTGAGTTTGCTCGGCCTCTGCTCGGGGGGGTCATCTTCACTGTCACCTCCATCACTTCCGCTGCGGTGGGAGCCTTCTCTGACCGAGTTCGCCCCTGAGGCGTCCTGTGAACCTGAAGAGGGAGAGGTATCACACGGGCACGTGCCTGGGCTCCCCCAGCCTGCAGTTTGCAAAAGCCACCCAAGTATTTCAGTGACGCCTTCCAGGAACTGTACATGCACAGCAGTAAAGCGTTCGACTACTTCTATCCAAGCATGCAGCTACACGCGAATCCGAGCACTAAAATGACAGTGTGTCTCTCAGTTTCAAAGTTCCCTTGGTCCGATTACTTAAAAAGCAAACGAACTTTCCCCTAGCCATCCAAGTCTAAACAAATGAATCTGGTCACTTCCGTGAGTCTCCTGCCCCCACACCTGGCTGTCCTCGCTGGGGACCCTTGGAGGGGGGTGGGTTGAGTTTCCCTCCCCGCCCCGAGCCGAAGACCTTCAGAACCAGCCACAACCATGCTGAGACCACCCTCCACACGCATGAGGGTACCGGCAGAGGAACAAAGGCATGCGGGTCCTGGGGCTGAGATCTCCAAGCCTGCTCAGATCAGGGCTGAGCATCCTCCACCTAGACCCTCCATCTTCCAGTAGGCGGGGGTCACACCCACCAACTGGCCCCCTGGCACCATGTAATCCCATCAACGGCCAAGACTCAGAGACTATAAAACCCAACCTGGCAGGCTACCGAATGTAACCTGCCCACACGGCAGAGTCTGGCAAACTCCCTGTGGCGTACCCAACATGCCAAATACCAGTAACAATGATGGGTCTCATTCTCCTAAGCCTGAAAGAGCCTTGAGTATGGCACTTTTTAGAATCTCAGGGCTAGGACGAAGGAGACGTTACTGGGGCCTGCTTGAGGCAATCAACAAACAACAGGATGATTGTGATCGTGATAGTGACCTCTGTGATAGGCATCACATTCTGATGGAATTTTAATCTAAATAACCTCAGAGACCGCACGTGAACATAGACTAAAAGTCTTTTTTTTTTTTAACTTAGAAACAAATCATTTGCTTCTGACCTAGTTCTATAGTAACAGGAGTGTTGGGACACGTGTCCTAATTTGGGGCTGAAGCAATGGTGAAGGGGGGACAGGGTGCCTGTCTTTCCCCTGTGGTCCCCTGAGCACAGACCCAGGAATCAGCCCTGAGCACCACCAAAGTGTGGCCCCCAAACAAAACAAAAAGTGTCTTTAATGTGTAGAGGTTCCAATTGAAGTACATGTCTGATCTGTTCTACGTTTCCTCAAAGTCACAAAACGGGTGGGCAAAATGAGTGGCAAGGAGCTTGCAGCGTGACGGGCTTTTGTGCAGTGGCAGACAATTTCCGAATGGCCACATTCAGCCAACACCAAGCACACTCAACATATTTTACGTCTGACCTCAAGGGGCCAGACAAACCAAGATTTGTTTAGAGTTCGGGGCCAGAGTGACAGTGGACAGGGAGTAGGGGTCTGCCTGGTACACAGCCAACCTCTGGCACCACATTTGGTCCCGCAAGCACCAGAGTGACGCCTGATCACAGAGCCAGGAGTAAATCCTGAATGCTACTGGGTGTGACCCCAAAGACAACAACAAAAATAAATAAATAAGCAAAATGAGGTCAGAGCAACAGTACAGTGGTTAGGGCATTTGCCTGGCCAATGCGGCCAATCTGCGCTCAATCCCCAGAATCTGATACGGTCCCCTGAGGCCGCCAGGAGTGATCCCTGAGCACTGAGTCAGGAGTAAGCCCTGAGCACCACTGGGTGTGGCTCCCAAGCAAAGGCATCATCATGAATTTAAAGCTCATCTTTAAATTCATCCTCACGGCAGTCCCACTGGGCCAAGAAAGAAAACAGGCAGTAGACATCGACGATCTATACACAACCACTTCTCAAACACGCCCCACCAACCCCCTAGCGCCACTCGCCCGAAATGAAAGTGAGCTGGAGAGACAGGACAGGGATACAGTTCTTCCTTTGAACGCAGCCGACCTAGGACCAATCCCTGGCACCACACAGGGTTCACTGAGTCCCACCAGGAGTGATCCCTGAGTGCAGAGCCGGGAATAAGCCCTGAGCACCGCTGGGTGTGGACTCCAAACAGAAAATAATCACATACAAAGGACGAAAATGCCAAAATAGAAAGGAATGAAAATACTGCGGTCCACTGTAAGAGCACAGAGAAGACAAGAAATTAAGCATGGTAGCACGGTCCTCCCGCTGTTCATTGATTTGCTCGAGCGGGCCCAGTAACGTCTCCATTGTGAGACTTTGTTGTTTCTGTGTTTGGCAAATCGAATACATCACGGGGAGCTTGCCAAGCTCTGCCGTGCAGGTGGGATACTCTTGGTAGCTTGTCGGGATGAGGGATAGAGAGGAATCAAACCCGGGTCAATAAAACTCTTGGGGCTGGAGAGACAGTACAGTGGACAGGGCATTTGCCTTGCCAGGTTTGATCCCCGGCATTGCATCTGGTCCCTGAGTCTGCCAGGAGTGCTCCCTGAGCACCACTGGGTGTGGGGTCCCGAAAAAAACCAAAAGCTCAGCAGACGTACTCTCGGTGATGCAGCTGAGTGAGCCACACTGACCCGGTCAGTCCTGACTGCGGCCCCCACCTGCACCCCGCTGGGCAGGCGCCCACGGCACGGCTGACACTAGGGATTTTCCAAGACCCCACAAGCCAGGCCACCCGCTACAAATGCACGCCCAGCTGCATTTCTCTTCTCTGGCTTTCGGGTCACACTTGGCAACACTCGGGGCTTACAGGGATCACTCCCGGCGGGCTCGCGGGACCCTGTGTGGTGCCGGGGACTGAACCCGGGTTGGCCGTGTGCAAGGCAAGTGCCCGGCCTGCATGCGCTTCTCTAGGGAGCGGACGGTTGCTCCGTATCTCAATCCCGAACATGATCCATAATCCGCCCTGCCCAGCGCCAGGGGTGTTCTCAGCCTCTCATCTGATCCCCACGAGCTTGCCTCAACTCACGACAGATGAGCAGCCCATGGAACTTCCTAGCGTGATTGCACCAGCCACCAAAGGACAAGACGCAGCTATGACGCTTCTGAGACCCCTTTGCAAGGAGGCTTTTCATTTCCGTTTAAGAGGAAGATAAACAAGAGGCAGTAAAACAAGCAAAAAACCAAACAAAAAACACTCAAGGGGTAGAATCTTTTCACCCCTGAAGTGTGAAATGTGGGACTAGAATGATAGGACAGCAGGTAGTGCGTTTGCCTGGCAAGTGGCTGACCCGGGTTCAATTCCCATGGCGTCCCCCGAGCACCACCAGGAGTAATTCCTGAGAGCAGAGGAAGCCCTGAGCATCGCCGGGTGTGACCCAAAAAGCAAAAACAAAAACTCTGAAGTGTAAAACGGAGGCGACCAGTGTTTAACTCTGCCACTGCGGACAAACGCCCGAACGCCCGTTTGCGAAGTGAAGTAATGCGGCCACCTCCACGCACAGAGTGGGTCCTGGTCCCTCTTACCTGGAGAAGGCGGGTTAGCGCTCCCACTGCCCGACAGGCCGCTTTGGGGGGCGGCTCCGTTGTGAGGCCCCCCATGGCCAGAAGCTGGGCACTCCCTGGGGCCATGGCCTTCTCCCGGTCCCAGGTCCCCGGAGGACTCTCCCGGGCAGTGCTCTGCGGCTTCCGGATCCAGGCTCAGGCGCCCGATGCCGTCCAGTACTTCTGCAGGGTCTGTGGGGCGGGCGGGGGCGCTCTCGCCCTCAGCGGCCCCCGTGGTGGACTCCTGGCCCGGCTCCTCATCCCTGACGTCGTAGGTCCAGCCCTGGGCCTCCCAGTAGTGGAACTGCCCCAGGTAGTGCCAGTACAGCCGGCTGTACAGCTGCTCCCACTCGGTGCGTGTGTCGGGCGCGGCCCAGGGCTCGGCGCAGTCCTGGCCCGGGTGCGTCTCCTGCCAGCCCTGCCACAGCAGCCCTGGACCCTGCTCGCGCCAGTACTGCTCCCAGCGCGGCGTCACCTCCAGCTGCGGGTCCACCGCGTCACCGGCGCCCTCGGGAGCACCCTCGGGAGGAGCCGCGGGGCCCCCGTTGTCGGGCGCGACGTCAGGTGCGGGTGCGGGTACAGTGTGTGGGTTGGTCTGCAGGTCACCAGGGCCCGGCAGCTCCGGCTCCTCGGCCAGAGAGGGGTCGTCAGAGGCCGAAACGTCGTCCTCAGAGTCCTGTCTCCAAGACTCCCTCCGAATTTCATCCAAGAATGTCTTTGAATGTTTTTTCTTCTTCTTTTTTCTTTTGACTTTATTTCGAGCGTTCGTGGCCACCTAATGGAAGAGAAAGAATTTGATCGTACAGCGCACCTCGTCAAGTACAGGAGAACGGAAAACTCCAAGTCTACTGTTATTATTTTTGGTTTTGGAGCCATACCCAGCAATGCCCAGGTGTAAAAACTATGCACGCTGAAGGTTGTGTGTTCACGGGCTCTCTGGACGGCTCTGTCTCACCGCCCGCGTTCGGTGCTCTTGAGCCGCTGTGTGTGGCCTGGACCAGGACGGCTGTTAGCCAAGGGCAGATGAAGGAAGAAACGAGGGCCAGGCTGGTCGATGTCAATAGTAGTTTATTCCAGTCCTCTTCACTCCTGTCTCTCCTCTGCATCCTTCTCTCCTGGGCCCCAATCTGGAACCCTTTCTCCTAGCTCTCCTCTGGACCTCTGGAGCTCGAGCTCTCTCACTTCTGACTCCCTCTTCCAAGCTTACAGTCTTAGTTTATATAGCAATTACGTAAGGTGACACAAAGGTGGGTTGAATATTGACAAGTCAACAAAGAGAGATAAGACCACTCCTCCAGGAGATTAACTCAAGGATAAAATCTCATCTAAAGAGATTACTCCAGATTACTAGGAGATCAGCTCAAGGGTGGGATCCCAATGAGGGTGTGTTCTTTCCTCAGCTAGTAATCTACTTAAATAGTTGTAATAAATCTACTTCTAATATTTCTAGCAATGTCATTCTGTGTGAGCACAGTAAGAGGTATAAACATCTCGTTATACATTCCACAGTCCTCAGGCCAGGTTAGTCTTCCTAGCCCCAGCAGGGTCCTAGTCTTATCGTTACTTACTTTTGGATCATGACAGCATTTGTCCATGATCATGCCCTCAACTTATAGTTGAGTATCGTGGCGCTTTGGCCTGGCCCATTTCGATGCCAGGGTAGCTCACAGCTTGCCCTGGGTCCGTTCAGTCCCTCGTTGGGACCCTGCTTTTGGGGTGCTAGGAACTAAGGGCAACTGAGTCAAGAAAGCAGATGCCCAGGAGTAAATATTATTAGGAGTCAATCAACTCCCAAGTTACAAAGCATAATATTAACTGTCTTCCTGTGTCCATACAGAAAGGACATTGCTTACAAGTTCAGTGTCCTTCGATGGGTGTGACCTGATAAACCTAAGCTACCTGAGGAAGGACAAAACAGTGTTATCCTACACCCAGGGGTGATTCCTTGCTCTGCACTCGGGGATGACTCCTGAGTGCACCCTATGAGCACGGAGAGGAGAAATTCCCAAGTGCACAGCCAGGAGTAACGCCCGCCTCACCAGCTGTGCTCAGGGCTTACTCCTGCTAGTGTTTAAGGGGACTGAACCTGGGCTGGCCATGGCAGAGGCCCTCCCTGCCCACTTCTGTCTCTCAGGTCCAGGATCCAGGTTTACTCTGACATGAAGCAAAACGCCAGACAGACTCTCCGCTTTAACTTCACTCAACCTTAGTGCCAAGTTTTCAGGAAAAGAGAACAGGGGCCCAAGCGATAGTACATCAGGTAGGGAGTCTGCCTTGAATGTGGACTACACCTGGGTTCAATCCCTGGGATCCCATATGGTCCCCTGAGCACCGCCAGGAGTGATTCCCGCGTGCCGAGTCAGGAAGAACCCCTGAGCATTAGTGAGTGTGGGTTCCCCCCAAAACAAACAGACAAACATTTTATATGTGTGTGTGTGTATGCAACATATACGTGTCACATGTGGGACACCACCATTTGCAGTTTTGGTTAATTCACAAATCTACACATTGTCAAAGAGGTTGCGTGTTCAAAATCAGAAGAACATTTGATTCGGGGGTAACAAAAGTCCAGGTGATCATTAATTAAAATATTTCTTTAAGAAGAAGAGAACAGAGAGAGTACAGCAGGTAAGGCACTTGCTTTGCCAGTGGCCGACCAAAGCTTAATCCACAGCATTCCATAAGGTCCCTGGGTACCATCAGGGGGTCCCTGAGCTGTAAGCCAGGAGTAGGCATGCCCTGAGCACTGCCAGGTGTGACCCGAGCAACAAAACAAAACAAAACAGACAAACCAAAACCACGAGAAGCAACAGAACGGAAACACGAACCTCCAAATTCCTCTGTGCAGACCCCCCGCCGAACTGAAGGGGCAGCCCCATGCTCCGCATGAGCTCGGCCTCAGAGTCCAGCTCGCTCTCCTCGAGGTCCACGCGCCGGTGGCCGCCGCCGCGCGGGTCCGTGGTGACGCTGGGAGGGGCATCTTCCTCCCCTTCGGTGGCCTGGTCTCCTGCAGACAGCATTGGGGAGACAAGGCTGAGGTGTGGACGGTTCGAAAGTGGAATGTGAGCCCCAGGGAGTTCACATGATGCCAGACCTGGGGTTATCCCACGACGCCAGCCCCGGGGTTATTCCATGACGCCAGCTGCCCATTCCACTTCCGCTTCCTGAGCAGTTTTTTTTAGCGGCCTAACGAGGATGAGAGGGAGGAAGGGGCAACGCACCCAGAGGGGAAACGCATACTCTGTATCCCTCGTCTGTCTGCCAAAGTACCGATGTGGACCAGAGTCATCCCGCATGGTTCCCCGAGCACCACCAAAGCGATTCCTGACTGCAGAACCAGGAGGAAGCCCTGAGCATCACTGAGAGGAGCCCAAAGACCAAGGAAATGATCTATGGAGTGACAGAAACCGCCCCCCCCCACCCAAGCCCCTCATGGGCCCTGAACTCACAACTGGGATTTGCACCCTGCCTGTGTGGGAGGGCTGAGTTAGGAAAGCCTAGCATCCCCTCCACAGGAAGATCCTCCCAATCGCCCCAGCTGAGGCTTGAGGACAAAAACAAGTTGTGTGTTATCTGCATGGTGTCATCTTGGTAATGAAATAAACTAATTCTGTGGGTCGTAAACACATTTTTCCCTACTGATCCCTTTCTGGGGGCGTGGGGAGACTCAGTGTTGCCTGTAAATCTACCTTGCTTGGCAAACAAACAGAAGGCCTCAACCCCCCCAGCTGAACCAGAGCTCGGCTCAAGTGGGTGGGAGCTGTCTATGCCCTATAGAACAGGCTGCTGGGAAGGGCCACAGGACAGCAGGCAGGGCCAGCCTGGCAAGGGGCCAGCTGGGGTCCGATCCCTGGCAACATACGGAGCCCCAAGCCCACCGGAGTGACCCCCGAGCTCAGAGCCAGGAGTAAGCCCTCAGCACGGCTGGATGTGGTCCACAAACACACACACAATAAGTAAAAAGAATTAAAACCAGGGTGCTAATAGCGACATCCCAATGAACACGGTACATGCTTAATTTCAGCAAGGGGCGGGGGGCGTCCAGTTTCATATTTACCTTCATTGTTGCCTCTGACATAGTAGCCTTTCAATCCCAGATTGTAGAGTTTGCGGTCTCTGTGGAGCAAATGAAACAGACAACATTGACAAACAAGCTATATCACTTAAAAGGGAAAAAAAAAAAAAGTTCAAGGTAGTCTCGAGGAAGTGAAAGTGAGAGGCACAAGGGCTAAGAAAGCTGACGGTGGTGAAAACATTTCCCTCTTCCGAGCTATAGCGGCACAGAACACACCTCTCCTGGGGAGGCCACCAGGATTGATGCCGACATCAACTATTTCGCTTACTCAGCATGGTCAGCTTTTCACATGGTATCGACGAATTGTCTATTAGGTGGTGACTGTGGATATTGGGCACGAAGACATCTATTTGTTGAATGACACATAAACGAAGAAACTTCCGTACGTTCGCTGGCACGGAGGGGGGTCGGGTGGCTACCCTGTCCCATACTCCCAGTCCTGGTGCCGTCCGGGGCAACCCAAGGGCACGGGGTGAGCGGGTGCCAGGCCAGCGCCTCTCCCGCCCTGCTGTCTCGCCGTCCCTGCCCCAATGTCCTCAACTGCCTCAATGCGGGTGATGTGTGGGGTGTGACCCCGGCAAGAAGACACAGCGATCGCTCTGATTACCCAGTTCCTAAGAGAACAGGAAAAAACCCAGCGACCACACGTTCTAACACCGAGTCCTTCTGCCTGGCCTCTGAGGGGGATCACTTGATCATTTGACTTCCTGTTAATCATCAATTTGCTCGAGTGGGCGCCAGTAACGTCTCCATTCATCCCTGTCGCGTGCTAGTGTAGCCCAATGGTGTGTCCCCAATAACCCTGGACGAGACTCTGTCATCAGTTCCCAAAGCTCATTCGTTGTGCTTTCTGCCTCGCAGTCCCGAGTCTCCAGTGTGGCTTTGGAGATGGAGGCAGAGTCCCCCCCGGGGCGGCATGACACCCCCGTGTGTCAGAGTGCTGGGGTCCTGCTGTCCCCGCTGTTCTAAAGGGTCTTAATTTTGCACCAACTGAGCTCAAGGAAACAGTCAAGTCTCCCCTCGATTTTGAACTTCACTGTTCAAAGCAGACCAGAACTTCTGTTAAGTCGAGCTTTTATGTCTGAAGTACGAAATTCCCTGAAAAGAATGTCTTAGTTCCAGAAGACCAAGTTCAGTATAGCTGCTACGTTACGCGGTGACCACACAGGCTTCCAGAAAGCTGCGTGGACCCTTGAGGCTCGCTAGTGGAAAACTCCCCAATTCCGGTATTTCAGAGTCAATATTTCTATGAACTACATACGCAGCCTGGGGGCATGGTTTACCAGGGTGGGTGTTCTGGTTTTAAAGAAGCTGAGACTCACAGGGCTTGTCCCTGGAATCTGGATCTTTCTGTTTGTTTTTCTTTGGCCACACTGTCTGACAGGGTGGGGTCGGGGTCGGCCAGAATTTGATCAGATTGGTCAGGGTAGGACTAACCCCTGACCCGCTGCCCTGTGGCTCAGGGGTTTCACCTGACGTCTGCTCCTCACCACTCACTGTTTTTCAGGCAGGGAGGTTTTAATTTAAGTATTTTTATTCTTTTATTTTTATTTTTTTTGCTTTTTGGGTCACACCTGGCGATGCACAGGGGTTACTCCCGGCCTCTGAACTCAGGAATTACTCCTGGCGGTAGCTCAAAGGACCACATGGGATGCTGGGAATCAAACCCGGGTCGGCCGCATGCAAGGCAAACGCTCTACCCGCTGTGCTATCGTCCCAGCCTCCGAATTTAAGTATTTTTTAAAAGGCCAGAAATGTATGCAATTAAATTGATGCCCTGTTCCTAAGCCCAGACCTCCCTCCTAAAAAACGGCTCCTCTTTTTCTGTCCTCTCAAAAAAAGGCTCAGAGGAGAACAAGTCGGCACACGGGGCGTCTTCCACCCTCACCACATGATGCAACATGCACGAAACGGTCGGCCGTGCAGTTCACCTGCCATTTCTAACGGGCCCTCCATCCCCAGCGGGACACCTGTGTCCTCCCCAGGCAGCAGAGATCTCCGGGCATCTTCACATTTCCTTTCCCTTCTGGGTTGCTGTTCTGGGCCACACTCAGCAGAGGGCTTGCTCCTGGCAAGGGATGACTCCTGACTCTGTGCTCAGGGCTGACTCCTGGCTCTGTACTCAGGGGCTGATTCCCGGCTCTGTGCTCAGGGCTGACTCCTGGCTCTGTGCTCAGGGATGACAACTGGTTCTGTGCTCAGGGATGACAACTGGCTCTGTGCTTAGGGCTAACTCCCGGCTCTGTGCTCAGGGCTGACTCCTGGCTCTGTGCTCAGGGATGACAACTGGTTCTGTGCTCAGGGATGACAACTGGCTCTGTGCTTAGGGCTAACTCCCGGCTCTGTGCTCAGGGCTGACTCCTGGCTGTGTCCAGGGAGGACCCCTGACTGTGCTCATTCCTGGCTGTGCTCAGGGCTTATTCCTGGCTCTGTGCTCAGGGCTCACTCCTGACTCTGTGCTCGCTCCTGGCTCTGTGCTCAAGACTCAGGGCTCACTCCTGACTCTGTGCTCACTCCTGACTATGCTCAGGGCTTATTCCCGGCTCTGCATTCAGGGCTGACTCCTTGCTCTGTGCTCAGGGCTCACTCCTGACTCTGTGCTCACACCTGACTCTGTGCTCACTCCTGACTATGCTCAGGGCTTATTCCCGGCTCTGCATTCAGGGATGACTCCTGGCTCCGTGCTCAGGGCTCACTCCTGACTCTGGGCTCACTCCTGACTATGCTCAGGGCTTATTCCCGGCTCTGCATTCAGGACTGACTCCTTGCTCTGTGCTCAGGGCTCACTCCTGACTCTGTGCTCACTCCTGACTATGCTCAGGGCTTATTCCCGGCTCTGCATTCAGGGCTGACTCCTGGCTCCGTGCTCAGGGCTGACTCCTGGCTCTGTGCTCACTCCTGACTCTGTGCTCACTCCTGGCTCTGCACACAGGGCTCCCTCCCGCCTGCACGCGGGGCCCCTCCCGGCGGGGCTCCGGGACCCCGCGCACGCCCTGCCCGGCTGGCCCGTACTCACTCCACGAAGGCCCTGGAGCAGAGGCAGCGGATGGGGGTCGGGTCCCCCGGGCCCAGCACGCACAGGAGCATCTCGGCCACGCGCTGCCAGCGCCCGCAGCCCATGGCGCCTCTGTGCGCGTGCGCGGCCCGGGGAGGCGGGGCCGCGCGGGGCGGGGCGGGGCCGGAAGCGCCGCCGCCGGAAGGGGCGGGCCGGGCGGTGTCGCGGCGCGCGGGGCTCGGGCCGCCGCCGCCGCCGCTCCGGGCCGCGGGTTCCGCGCCTTCCCCGCATCTCGTCGCCGCCGCCGCCGCCGCCGCCGCCCGACCCCCTCGGCTCCCGCGCGCCGCCCAGCGCCCCCCGCCGCCCGCTCGCGTCGGGCCGCCGCCCTCGGTGCGCGGGGGCGCGTGCGGGGCGCGTGCGGGGCGCGGCGCGTCGGGGTCCCCGGGCGCGGCTTCCCGCCGGACGCGCTTCCGCGGCGGCCCGGCCCGGCTGTGCGGCTGCGGGCGGGCGCGCGGAGGCTCCAGGTACCGGCGCGGGACGCACCCGGGGATGCGCGGGGCGGCGCGCGCCTCCTCCCGCCTCCGCTCCCCCGCCAGACCCTGCGGCCGGGCCGCCGGCCGGCCCCGGGCACCCTGCAGGGCCAGCGCGGCTCGGGGCAGGGCTCGGGCACCGGGCGCAGGTGTGCGGGGCCGGGCAGCGCCAGGCGCAGGTGTGCAGGGCCGAGCGCAGGTGTCAGGGCCGAGTGCAGGTGTGCAACGCCGGGCGCAGGTGTGCAGGGCCGAGTGCAGGTGTCAGGGCCGAGCGCAGGTGTCAGGGCCGAGTGCAGGTGTGCAACGCCGGGCGCAGGTGTGCAGGGCCGAGCGCAGGTGTCAAGGCCGAGCGCAGGTGTCAGGGCCGAGCGCAGGTGGGCAGCGCCAGGCGCGGGTGTGCAGGGCCGAGTGCAGGTGTCAAGGCCGAATGCAGGTGTCAGGGCCGAGTGCAGGTGTCAGGGCCGAGTGCAGGTGTCAGGGCCGAATGCAGGTGTCAGGGCCGAGCGCAGGTGTGCAACGCCGGGCGCAGGTGTGCAGGGCCGAGCGCAGGTGTCAAGGCCGAATGCAGGTGTCAGGGCCGAGTGCAGGTGTGCAACGCCGAGCGCGGTGTGCAGGGCCGAATGCAGGTGTCAAGGCCGAATGCAGGTGTCAGGGCCGAGCGCAGGTGTCAGGGCCGAGCGCAGGTGTCAGGGCCGAGCGCAGGTGGGCAGCGCCAGGCGCAGGTGGGCAGGGCCGAGCGCAGGTGTGAGGGCCGAGCGCAGGTGGGCAGCGCCAGGCGCAGGTGTGCAGGGCCGAGCGCAGGTGTCAGGGCCGAGTGCAGGTGTGCAATGCGAGCGCGGGTGTGCAGGGCCGAGTGCAGGTGTCAAGGCCGAATGCAGGTGTCAGGGCCGAGTGCAGGTGGGCAACGCCAGGCGCAGGTGTGCAGGGCCGAGCGCAGGTGTCAGGGCCGAATGCAGGTGTCAGGGCCGAGCGCAGGTGGGCAGCGCCAGGCGCAGGTGTGCAGGGCCGAGCGCAGGTGTCAAGGCCGAATGCAGGTGTCAGGCCGAGCGCACGTGTCAGGACCGGGCGCAGGTGTGCAGGGCCGAGTGCAGGTGTCAGGGCCCAGCGCAGGTGTGCAGGGCCGAGCACAGATGGGCAGCGCCAGGCGTAGGTGGGCAGGGCTCGGCTCGCGCCGTGCACCCCTGGACGCCGGCAGCTGCTGTCCCGGGCAGCGCGCGCGCCTCCGTGCCCCATGCCGCGGAGGACTCAGGGCCAGGGTTGGCCACGCCGCTGGGCCCCACACACCTGCGCCCAGATGCGGCGTTCTTTCGCAGCGGGATGCTGAGGAGGCGCGTGCAAGGGCTCAGCTCCAGCGTCTCTTGGGCCTGGGGGCTGGCACTGGGGGTTTGTCACCCCACACGGGGGTCCTGGCAAGGGAAGGGGGCGTCAGGGGATGTTGACTACCCCACACGGAGCCTGGCAAGCGAATGCAGATCAGAAACGCAAGGTCTGCACGCTGTGGAGTGGTGTGTTTTGTAGGGTACAATGGTTGGCTTTGTCAGCTGTCTTAACTGAACTAGTTCTTTTATTATTATTATTATTATTATTATTATTTGCTTTTTTGGGTCACACCCGGCGATGTTTAGGGGTTACTCCTGGCTCTGAACTTAGAAATTACTCCTGACCGTGGTCAGGGGACCCAATGGGATGCCAAGATCAAACCCCGGTCAGCTGCGTGCAAGGCAAACGTCCTTCCCCCCTGTCCTGTCGCACTGGCCCCTGAACTCGTTCTGAAGTGAGCTTTATTGATGGTTTGGTGGACAAGGCTTCCTCAGGACAGCCGGTCATCAGGCCTTTATTAGGGGTGCACAGGGGAGAGTTACCTTCCACTCCTTGATTCTTTCTTTGAATCGGTGGCGTCTGCAGCGCACCTGCCCGGTGAGTCATAGACTCCAAGCAACCCAGGATGGCGCCAGTATATATGATGATGACTGTTTAAAATAGATTTGCAACAACAAGAAGGAAGGAACTTTCTGAGCCAGGCATTCTCGTCCAGATTGCTCCTGTTTTACTTGCCTCACGCGTGCAGCTGCCTGCTCAGCAGACAGCGAAGAGAGGCTTCCCCACACGCCCTCATCTCTTTGGCACGGCCGCTCTCCTCTCCTGCCCCTTCTCTGCTCCCCCCAGTCTGTGGTCCTGGTCTCAGCCTGGCCCTGTTTGTCCACCGCACCGGGCAGCATCTCACGTCCAGGTGCTCTTCTCATCCTCGTGTTGCAGAGTTCTGAAAACTGAGTTGTTGTGTTCCTCTCAACATCAGTTGTCCGAGGGTCATCCCAGGGAACGGGAAGGTCAGGAAACTAAGGTCTCAGCAGCCGTTCCGAGAGTGAAGAATCCTGAGGAATTTGCAGTGCCGGCTAGTTGTCCTGAAGCTTATGAGATTATTTCATGGATGAGGTTTGATGGTGCAGAACTAGGGCCAAGAGGGAAGAATCACAGTAACTTTGGCAAGGGTACTCTGCTGGTTTTTAGGAAGTAACACTGAATCCTTCGTCCTGGCAGATTAAGGCTGAGTGTGTTGCTGACCCATAAGTCAACTTGCACGGTGATGCTGGCATAAGACACTATCTATTGCCCTTGAATATCATTCTCTGTAACACTTTCAGTTACTGTTATTATTATTATTTCCTGCCTCATCCACAAAGGATCTGAGGTTAGTTTTCATTCCGATTACATGATAATCTAGGACTAGAACCAGTGGAAGGAAAGGAAATAGGATAGCACTTGGTAGGAAAACATGAATGCAAGGGCTAATAGAACTCTTGTGTCCAGTTTCCATGTCACTGTCTGTGTATGTGTGCCAAGTTACTAAGCAGATACATAATTACACACCTTAACTTTTTCTCCTAAGCAAACTTTTTTTTTTTTCAACTCTGAATTCTATAAAGCTGCAGTTGAAGTTACAGAGTATCCGTCTGGCTTCTCTGAAGCCTTGGGCTGTGAGTGTCTCTTACTATTTAGTTGTGGAAAGTCTAACTCCATATATCATTGATTTTAATACCATTTCTTTTGATTTGCATACTGTTTTCCAGAACATGCAAGAATGAAGCCTGGGCCAAGAGAGTTACCTAATTTCTGGTAAGTCAAGCAATTGGTTTCGCGGGAGACTTCATGGTAAAATGATATGCCTTTTGATCATTTAAAAATCTTAAGTTTTGTAACTCTAACAAACCATACTGATGGCAATAACATAATGCCAAAAGAACAAGGAGCTTTTGGTAGCCTGTGCATTAAAGACAGTATCCAGAAATACACCTCATTTCCTACAGAATTGGGTTACTTCCATTGAATTGGATCTTGAGATTTTTATCTGTGTGAACAGTTACTGCATCATAGCCTAGGTTAAGATTTACTTGTTCGGGGCTGGAGAGATAGCACAGCGGGTAGGGCGTTTGCCTTGCACGCTGCCGTCCCGGGTTCGATTCCCAGCATACCATATGGTCCCCTGAGCACCGCAAGGAGTAGCTCCTGAGTGCAGAGCCAGCAGTAACCCCTGTGCATAGCCAGGTGTGACCCAAAAAACACAAAAAAGTAAAAATAAAAAAGATTTACTTGTTCACTCCAATCCACTTAAGTTTGTTGGATTATTAAAGTAAACCTGAAATTTCATTGTATCACTTTATTTTCCTTCATAATTACAGCTTGTGGGCTAATTCAGAAGCCAACCCTCAAGACTTCATGAGGGACAAATGAAACCTTATACTTTTTTTTTACCTGAAATCGGCAACAGCGTTAACCATTCTACAACTTAACTCATTTTCCGTTGTAAGCAGAGGCTCTGTGTAGTATTGATGTATTCTAAAGCCTTTAACTTTTCCACTGCTCAGATAATAACGTTGTCTTCTTTGTTCCCTTTCTAGTGACATGGTCATTGAGTTGTGGTGGCAATGAAGAAAGAGGCCGAATTGATCGTTTTCCCCTAAAGGAAAATGATAGACAAAAACCAAACCTGTGGTGTGGGGCAGGACTCGCTGCCCTATCTGACGTGTCTGATTCACATCGTCGAGGGGTGGTTTGGTGTGGACCACTTGGAGGACTACCTGAACTTTGCAAACTACCTTCTGTGGGTTTTCACGCCCCTCATCCTTCTAATACTCCCGTACTTTACCATCTTCCTGCTCTACCTGACGATCATATTCCTGCACATCTACAAGAGGAAGAACGTGCTGAAAGAAGCGTACTCTCATAACCTGTGGGACGGCGCTCGGAAGACGGTGGCGACGTTATGGGACGGCCACGCAGCCGTGTGGCACGGTAAGCGCCATGGCCCCGCCCCCCCCCCCCAGCAGCCTTCTCGTGCACTTACGTGTGTCTGTGCGTGTGTGCGCTCGTGCGTGCCTGTGTGCCTGTGTGTAGGTGCGCGTGTGCACTCCGGTGTGCTCCTGAAACTGTTCCCTTTGCATTGTAAGAGGTGCTGAAAGTAACAGCAGAAGAGGGATTGGTGTAACTTCCTCTTCCTGTCTCCCTGCATCCCACACAGACACACACACACACACACACACACGCACACACGCACGCACACACGCACACGCACACGCACACGCGCGCGCGTGTCTTTCCTAAAGGCTTTTCTCCAGACATTGTCATTGTCACTGTCCTCCCGTTGTTCATCGATTTGCTTGAGCGGGCCCAGTAACGTCTCCATTGTGAGCCTTTGTTGTTACTGTGTTTGGCATATCGAATGTGTCATGGGGAGCTTGCCAGGCTTTGCCGTGCGGGCAAGATACTCTCGGTAGCTTGCCAGGCTCTCTGACAGGGGCGGAGGAATCAAACTTGAGTCGGCCATGTTGGCGGCATGCAAGGCAAACGCCCTACCGCTGTGCTATCGCTCCAGCCCTCCAGACATTAGTGTCTAGTAAAGAGGACAGCTACTGGGGCTGGAGTGATGTACAGCAGGGAGGGAGCTTGCCTTACAGTTGACCCGGGTTCCATCCCTGGCTTCCCGGATGGTCCCTGAACACCAGCAGGAGTGATCACTGAATACAGAGCCAGGAGTGATCCCTGAGCACCCCTGGGTGTGTCACCGCCCCCCCCCCCCCCCCAAATTTAATAAAAAGACAACTACAGAGCAATGCAGATATTATGAAGGTGATAGTATAAACATCTATGTTGATTCTATATGTCTTTTTTTTTTTTTTTTTATTACATTCAGTATCCCAAGGGCTGGAGCGATAGCACAGCGGGTAGGGCGTTCGCCTTACAAGCGGCCAACATGGCCGACCCGAGTTCGATTCCTCCGCCCCTCTCGGAGAGCCCGGCAAGCTACCGAGAGTATTCGATATGCCAGACACAGTAACAACAAAGTCTCCAATGGAGACGTTACTGGGCCCGCTCGAGCAAATCGACGATCAACGGGAGGGCCTTTACCTTTACCAGTATCCCAACACCAATTCCAACACTATTACACCTTCCTATGACCATTATTGCCAGTTCCTCCCCCCTCTCACCTAAGCCTTCCCCTGCTGGCCCTAAATAATCTATTTCTATTTCTTGATATGAGTAGTTTGCTGAAATGATCAACAAGGATCACCTTAGAAGAAAGTGTGTGAGGATTGTATCTCACCCTGGAGCCGTTAAGCCGTTGTATAAGAGATTACTGAAATGTTACAGTTTTAGTCTTGCATGCTAAGATTTTCTTAATTGAGATTTACATCCCATCTGATGTTGTGTACTATTCCTGGTATATCAGCTTTGTAGAGTTTGAGATGTTGCACAGAATTCAAATATTTTGAATGGAGTTAAATTTTTAACTGAGTGGTGACTTTGGGTCTGGAGACATCTCTGTAGCTTGTTGCTCTCTTTCCAGATTTATTTGTGAGTCTCTGGATCATGGCCATTAATGAGCTTAGCGATAGCCCAATGGGTAGGGCGTTTGCTTTCCATGAGGCCGACCCGAGTTCGATTCCTCCGCCCCTCTCTGAGAGCCTGGCAAGCTACCGAGAGTACCCCACCCGAAAGGCAGAGCCTGGCAAGCTCCCTGTGGTATACTCGATATGCCAAATACAGTAACAAGTCTCACACTGGAGATGTTACTGATGCCCACATGAGCAAACCCCTAAACGGGATGACAGTGCTACAGTGGTATTGTGCCGGAGACAGTTTGTGGGCCATGTACATTTCCCAGGCTGTGGAAGTCTGTAGGTTTCAATGTGCCGGTGTTGGATTTAGAAGCAATCTATCTCTCAGATTATCTTGACTGAACTCCTGTTACTGGTTTTGTAAAGCCTGAAGGCAGTTAACTCATTTACATAATAAGCCATTGCAATGAGGTGCAGTTAGATGCAGTTACTCAAGCTCCTAGAGACCCCAGTTCTCTTCTTTAAGGAGCCTCAGAATACCGAGGCCAGCGATTTTGCTAAGCATGGAGTCGGAGCAGAACGGGTAAGATACTTTTTTGGGGTGGCGGAGGAAGTTTGGGTCACACCCGGCAAAGCTTGGGGGTTACTCCTGACTTTGTGCTCAGGAGTTATTCTTGGCGGTGCTCTGGGTATAGAACCCAGATCTGCTGCGTGCAAGGCAGGTGCCCTCCCCACCATGCTCCAGCCCCAGGTAGATATTTCTTTAATGACTTGTAACAAGAGAGCCGCGTTGATCACAAGTGGAAAGGTTCTTATTGGGACCCAAACTACTTGGCATACTGTCCCTGGGATGTCCCCTCTGGCCGGGGAACGGGCAGCAGTTGCCTTTGCAGTTGCTCTCTCTGAGCGTCTATTGCCTGTTTGATGCCCTCCCGCCCCTGTGATACACTGCGTGTCGATATTGTGTGTGTCATGCATACTGTACGCTCTAGCATGTATCCTGGAGTTTGAGTTAGGAGGTGGCAGCTCCCACATTGGAAGGGGGACAGGAGTGATACAGATTTCAGAGTTTGGAGGTAAACATGCAAAAAAAAAATCTCAGAGTCCAAGGGAAATGAAGTTATGGTGCTTCAGGATTTTTAAATTTCTGCCAGGTAGGAGAACACAGGACAGAAAGGCGCCACCCCCCCCCCCCCCCCCCGGGAGAAAGTACATGAACATAGGGAAGTGTGCATAAGGAGGTGTTGTTCACTTCACGCGTGAGAGTCTGGGGAACGCCACTCGTGGGCAGTGAAAGCTTGAACTAGGGTGATGGTCCCCGACGCCCTCTGGGCGGGGTGTGCTGACAGCTGGGCTTCGGTGGGGCAGGAGAAATAGGCCATGGGCTGGCCTAGTCGCTGATGCACGGCGCTAGTTTTTGTGGGCAGGGGGACTGAACTTTCCTGCTTTCGACCAGGTGCGGGGGTATTAACCATATGGTTTATTTTCTGAAGTGTGGGCCGTTGAACCCTGGTCTTCTGCATACAAAGCCCAGGAGTTGCATCCCTGGACTGATTCTTTCTCTCCCCCCGCCCCCTTCTCTTTTTGGGTTTGGAACACAGAAAAGAACCTTAGTGCTATGCTGTACAGAATCCCCTCAGGAAGTATTTTTGATTTTTCAGACAATGTATCTGATGGGACTTTTAATTCTTTTGATAGTCATGATGGCCGTGTATGAGTGTTTTGTGGAACTTGTGGTAAACCGCACGGTTTAGAATTAGGTGGTTGGAGGAAAAGTTGTAAGTATAGATGCATATGAAACAAAACATCTAAGAAATAGGGTTAAATTCAGTGTTTAAAGACATTCTCTTGGGTCCACGTGAAATACAAGTGAGTAGTTCCTTAAACATTATGTGTGATCAACTACCGAATAGTCTGGTTTGGGATGTTTTGGGAGGGGAGGGGGTTTGGGGGCCACACTCTTCGATGCTCAGGGGTCACTGTAGAATGGACCTCTGTGGTGGGGACCATATAGGATGCTGTGGGTTGAACAAGCCTACAGCACGCAAGGTAGGCGCCCTACCCACTGTCCCATTGCCCCGCCCCATAGTCTAATCATAGGTTTGATGAAGATATAAGCGACTTTATTACTATTATTTTTGCTTTTTGGGTCACACCCGGCGATGCACAGGGGTCACTCCTGGCTCTGCACTCAGGAATTACTTCTGGCAGTGCTCGGGGGACCATATGGGATGCTGGGACTTGAACCCAGGTCGGCCATGTGCAAGACAAATGCCCTCCTCGCTATGCTATCGCTCCAACCCTGATATAATCGACTTTAAAAGTGAATTAAAACTCATTTCTGATGAATCTAAAGTTTAGTCTGAAACCTTCATTGTTTGAATTTTTGTTCTCTCCCTCCTTCCCTCCCTCCCTCCTTTGGTTTGGGGGGCACACCCATAGTGTGGGGGGCTTCCTCCTGGCTCTCAGATTCTGGTGGGGGTCGTGGGATCCTGTGGCGCCCCAGGCAGCCTCCAGCCCTGCTGTGTTACTCATCAGGCCCTGAATCCAATTCTAGTTTCTTAGCAAATCAGAGGAGAAAAGAAATCCTAAGGGTCTCAGGTTTCTGTTTCAAATCTCTTCCTGGGAATGGCTGGCCGAGCATCTTGGAGAGAAAATTTTCAAGCTTTCTGCAGTAATAACCATCCATTTGTGTAAGCTGGCTGATAAATATATATTAAGTATCTGAATTTTGTCTTTCCAACAGGTTATGAAGTTCATGGGATGGAAAAAATACCTCAAGAAGGACCAGCACTTATTATTTTTTATCATGGAGCTATTCCCATAGATTTTTACTACTTCATGGCTAAAATTTTTATTCACAAAGGCAGAACTTGCCGTGTTGTAGCCGATCACTTTGTCTTTAAAATTCCAGGTAAACTCTAACTGGAGATATTGTTATGATACTTGGTGAATGTGGGCCAAGTAGGTGAGAGCCTTTCTCTCTGAGTTCTTCAGCGTTCTTTGGAAAAGTTTCTTGACCTTTTTAGGAAAATAAACTCGTCAACCCAGTTTGGACGCATTGGATCATCTTACTTAGTTAATATGTTTAAATATGAAAACATGGCCAAAACTCAAATTTCTTAGTAAGAGGCTTTCAGTTACTGTTTTTCCAGGCTAAGTCTTGGACTTCTGTTTTGTAGGAATAACTGTAACTTTGCCAAGTAATTTCTATTTTGGCGATTGATTTTTCATATGATGAATACTTCCATGAAATGCAGGCTTGGGGGAGTTCATTGTAATTAGTGTGATTAATAGCTGTTTGGGAGCAAACGAAAATTAGTAGAAGGATTAGCTAGGGTGTATTGTGACTTCATGTAATAGTACAACACTGCCTCCGATATCCTGTCTCGAGAAGCCTGCTGTGTCTCAGTAGATTTACCTAGTAAACTTTTGAAAAATGTTAGTTGAGGGGCAGAAGCAATAGTAGATAGAGCAGTAGGGCATTTGCTTTGCACCTGCCCAACTGGGTTCAGTCTCTGGTTCCTATGGTTCCCTGAGCCTGCCAGAACTGATCCCTGAGCACAGAGGCAGGAGTAAGCCCTGACCGCCACTGGGTGTGGCCCCCAAACAAAAAACAAAAGAACCAAAAAAAAAAAAAAACCCAACAGAAACCCTGAGGCACTCACAAATTAGAGTTGAGGTTCACGTGACCTAAGGAATGTTATCATGCTTCTGTCCTGTAAAAGTGCCCGACCTTTGCCCAGTAAATTTTTTAGGTTAAGGACTAAATTCTTTTTTAATCTGTCCAAGGCTGTTTTCCTTTTGAAGAGATCAACTAAATGGTGGTATTGGTAAAAGGTAAAAGGTAAAGGCCCTCCCGTTGATCGTCGATTTGCTTGAGCGGGCCCAGTAACGTCTCCATTGGAGACTTTGTTGTTACTGTGTCTGGCATATCGAATACTCTCGGTAGCTTGCCGGGCTCTCCGACAGGGGCGGAGGAATCGTACTCGACCGCTTGTAAGGCGAACGCCCTACCCACTGTGTTTTTCTCTGGCCCCAGTTTTTTTTTTTTTTAAATCAGTGATTCTGTTGTTGAGTTAGTTATTTTGGGCCACACCCAGCGGTGCTCAGGGATTGTTATCCTGGCTCTGCACTCAGGAATCATTCTTGACTGTCTTGGGGGTCCCTATGGGATGCCAGGGTTGGAACCTGGTTCTGCCATGTGCAAGGCAAATACCCTACCTGCTGTACTTTCACTTTCATAGATTTGATTATGATTTGCCAGTTTTGACAGGCAGGACGAAGTCTAGTAAGATTCACATTCTTCGCAGTGATTCTTGCTTTGACAGGATTAAAGAAAGATTTGATTTACTGTTGTTGGTGGGATTTTATTTCTAACGACTCCAGTTAGTGGTGAATAGGTGAAGTTGAAGGAGCTTTGGCCAGACATCTGGCTAGGAGGACATCTCTGTATTGACAGTTGCTAGGGGCTGGATTGAACAAGCTGAGCAACTCTGCATCCGCTTTCCTCATCTGTGAAATGGGCTAGGCATCTTTGTCTTCCATGGATTTTGTGAGTTTGAATTTGCAGCATAGCTACAGTGGTAGGTGATCAGTAAGTTGGTGAATAACAGGTGTTGAGTTATGCCTGTTTCTTCACCATTGTATTACGCGTATTTTAACCTTAAGTATTGTCGGTTTTTGTTTTTGCTTTTTTTTTTTTTTTTTGGTTCACACCTCGCGATGCACAGGGGTCACTCCTGGGTCTGCACTCAGGAATTACTCCTGGCGGTGCTCAGGGGACCATTTGGGATGCTGGGAATCGAACCTGGGTCGGCTGCGTGCAAGGCAAACGCCCAGCCCGTTGTGCTATCGCTCCAACCCCGGCTTTTGCTTTTTTCGTGAAAGATGCTGGTTTAAGTTCCAGGGAGGCTGAATGCTGTAGACTGGGAAGATTTTTCTTCTTGTAGAATTGGACAGAAAGACTTAACTCTCTGTGTCATGTCGATGTTTCCTACAGGGTTTAGTTTGTTGCTTGATGTCTTTTGTGCCCTCCATGGACCAAGAGAAAAGTGTGTTGAGATTCTGAGGAGTGGCCACTTGTTGGCTATTTCGCCCGGCGGAGTTCGGGAAGCTCTCCTCAGCGATGAGACCTACGGCATCGTCTGGGGCAGCCGCAGGGGCTTCGCGCAGGTGGCCATCGATGCTCAAGTGGTGAGTCGGGTGCACCTGAGTCTAGGGTGAAGAGATGTTGGAACTGCATGCTCATGGAGGGGCAGCATAAGACTCAATCATTTTGTTGCACAACTTAAAATACTGTTCTAATCCTAAACAGGAGCTTTGTAAGGGTCTATCTCACAGTGATTCAGTAAGGGTAAAAAAATAAATAAAATCTTATATGTTTAGTCATAAGGATAATAATCAAGAAATTTCTTTGTTCACGAGGTGCCATCTTTGTTTTGTTTTTTTGTTTTTGTTTTGTTTTTTGGGTCACACCCAGCGATGCTCAGGGGTTACTCCTGGCTCTGCTCTCAGGGATGACTCCTGGCGGTGCTCAGGGGACCACGTGGGATGCTGGGATTGGAACCCGGGGTTGGCCACGTGCAAGGCAAACGCCCGACCCGCTGTGCTATCGCTCCAGCACCCATCAGGAACCATCTTGAAAAAGTAAATCTTAAAGTAAAAAATTTAACAAAGATCCTACAGAGTTTTTGTTTTACATTTCAAAATATGACTTCTTTTCATCTGATATGTGAACTTCTTGATAGTCCTTTGCTTATAGTTTTTTTAGTGTGTGGTCCATCCAGTTCCACGTATCTTAATTGGTATGATTGAATTGCCATTTCAAAGATGGTTATTATTTATATCATTTAAATCATATAAAAATCAAGGATAGTTCATGTTAGTAGCTGTGTTACTAGATTTAAAGGTCCGGAGCAAAAGCACAGAGGTAGGGCATTTGCCTTGCACGCGGCTGACCCGGCCGACCCGGGTTCGATTCCTCCGCCCCTCTTGGAGAGCCCGGCAAGCTACCGAGAGTATCTCGCCCACATGGCAAAGCCTGGCAAGCTCCCCGTGACGTATTCGATATGCCAAACAACAAGTCTCACAATGGAGACATTACTGAGCCTGCTCAAGGTGAAGAATGGGAGGACAGAGGACAGTGCTACTAGCTTTAAAAGTTAAAGACAAGCTGATGATCAGGCCTGGATCTTAGAAAAATCATTTCTTCAGCAGCTTAGAATAAAAATGACAGGGATAAGTTTTGGGGTGTGTTTGCTTGTTTGTTTGTTTGTTTTTGGACTTCATCCAGCAGTACTTAGAGCTTACTCCTGGCTGAGTGCTCAGGGATCACTCCCGGTGGACTCACGTACGAAACCTGGGTTGAACATTTCTAAGGCCTCAGCACTGTACTATCACTCCGGCACTGACACGAGTAAATTTGGAGTCACAAAATTTGATCATGAAGTTCTAATTCATGATCTTTAGTTATTTACATTGATCTATTAATTTATTTTTGGCGGGCGTGTGGGGGGGCACTCTTGGGGGTGCTCAGGGCTTATTCCTGGCACCCACTCAGGACTTGCTCCTGGAGGACTCAGGGTGCCATACGGATGCCAGGAATAGAAATCTGGCGTGCAGGCTAACGCTGCACTCACTGGGCAGTCCCTCCAGCCCCTAACCATGATCTTCCTGTGTGGTTTTTAAGAACATGACCCACGAGGAGACCCAGAAGAAAGAAATGGCTTAGAGATGAAACTTTTCTCAGTCCGGACGGAGGTCCAGGATAATCGGTTAAACGAACCCATGGAATTTATTTATTTCATTTTGGACTTGGGGCCACACCTGATGGTTCTTAGGGCTTTCTCCTGGCCCTGTGCTCAGGGAGCACTCCTGGCCAACTTGGGGGACTGTCAGTGGTGCCACGGATGGAGCCTGAGTGACCGTTGTGTGTGTGAGGCGAATACTTTGCCTGCCCTTCTGTCCCTCCCCCCTGCCCCCCAGCTGTGTAATTTAATCAGTGTTTCCACACAGAACTCGAGAAAACATACCAGTTTAAAAGCAGAGAGGTCTTGGGGCTGGAGTGATAGCACAGCGGTTAGGGCGTTTGCCTTGCACATGGCCGACCCGTTTTTGATCCCCGGCATCCCATATGGTCCCCTGAGCACCGCCAGGAGTAATTCCTGAGTACAGAGCCAGGAGTAACCCCTGAGCATCACCGGATGCTCATGACGTGAGGAAAAAAAAAGGCAGAGGTCTTTCCCTGGAGGTGGCTACGCACAGCCCAGTGTTGCTCTTCCGTGGTGCAGGGGAGTGGGGGACACGAGTGGCCGTCCCGTGTTGCAGATGGGCAGACTCAGGCCAGGGAGGGGAGGGGGCGAAGAGCAGGGAGACAGGGTGGGGTCCCAGCTAGACACCCGTCTGCCCCTCGGGAACCCTCCAGCCCAGGGTCCCAGGGCCACTGGCCCCTCAGAGGCCTCTGAGCCAGCCCTAAGTGTGGAGGGAAGATGTCCTGGCAGGAGAGACCTCAGGCCACCCGGAGGTCATAGGCCAGGGCGCTGCGTGCGTCCCCAAGACACGCTCAGAGGCGCGGTGATGGGGGTTTCCTGTAACAGAGCCCCCCATGTACTCTAATCGGAAAACTCCAGATCTAAGGCAAATAGCACTTGCTTTATAGACTGGTTCATATGGATTATCTTACGCTATTCAAACCATTAATAGTCTTAGTCCCATTTTTTATGTAAGTGAAATCCTTAGATTTGATAAGTAGCTTGTCTGGCCTTGCCCTGCCCTTCCTTTTCCTTCCTTCCTTCCTTCCTTCCTTCCTTCCTTCCTTCCTTCCTTCCTTCCTTCCTTCCTTCCTTCCTCCCTCCCTCCCTCCCTTCCTCCCTCCCTCCCTCCCTCCCTCCCTCCCTCTTTGTTTGTTTCTCTTTTCCTTTTTTGGGGAGGGGGTCACACCCGGCAGTACCCGGGGGTTCCTCCTGGCTCTGCATGCAGGAATTCCTCCTGGCGGTGCTCTGGGGAGCGTCTGGAATGCCGGGATCAAACATGAGTTGGCGGCACTCAGGCAAGCACCCTCCCCGCTGTGCTGTCACGCCAGCCCCTGTTGCTGTTCTTCAGTGGCAAAGTTAAGACTCCGAGACTGTGTTGATTCTCCAGGGATAACATTAAGAAAATACACGTTCTTTGGCACACGTTTGTACACATAACACGCCTGTGTACAGAGACACATTCACATGCATGTAAAGTGAATTGGGCATTTTAAGTGCTCAATTCCTAAGACGTTTAATGACTGATGGAGATGTTTTCCAGACTCCAGCCATTAATTTCATCTTCCGGAACTGGTGGTGCTTTCTTAGGGTGTGGTCAGTTTTTGCCGCAGAGCCAGACTGCTTTATCTTATTTGTTGGCTTTGTGAGTTAACTCTAAATTCATCGAACTGCTTTTATCTTAGTTCTATTTTTTCCTAATTGCTTTTAAGAGGACTGCTATTCCTGATAGATTGATAGTATTGAGGGAACATGAATGACATTATGCAAAGCGTTGACACTCCGTTCTGCTCCTTTGGTCCTTCTCTGGTTCATCCCTCGCACCTTTTCGGCTCCTAGCCCGCTCCAGGCTCTGTTCTGGTGCTGGAGATCCTGTGAGAAACAAAATGTCCCCGTTGTAAATTCTGCTGATGAGCAGAAGAGACCCAATAAATACGTGATCCATAGTGATCCGTGAGGAATTCTAAGGAAAAACCCCACACCTGAAATCTCTGGTCTTCAGTTCACCAGATTTTACAGTTCCCCAAAGCTAAAATAGGAACGTGGCTTTGAAAATGTCAGTTTATTTCAAGATCGCAAGCCCTGCTCATGCGGACGGGTAATTTTGTATTAGGTGAAACTGTGTCGACTCATCTCCGGCCAGGCTCCCCATTCAGAAATACTTGATCGGGATGTTTTTTGTCGACTTCAAAGTGTTTCATTCAATTTTTTAAAAAATCTAGTTTTACAAGTGGTATAACGTCTGTATGTGTGTCATTACTTGGTCTATTGTTTTGAGATAGTCAGCTAAGGATCTCCATTTTAAAGAAATTATACTTAATCATTAATATCCATGGAAAAAGAGAAACAATTTTTAAGTAGAAATCCTCTAATGATACAAATAATTGTATCAAATGAAACAAATACAAATAATTCTTTATTATGTATGCTTTTCCTTTTTCCCCCACAGTAAATTTTTAAAAAAATTTTTTTATTAGTGAGTCAGCGGGAGGTATAGTTACATACTTACAAACAGTTACATACTTACAAGAGGTACAGTTACATACTTACAAACTGCTTGTGTTTCAGTCTAAGAGTACCCACCCCTCCTCCAGTGCCCATTCTCCACCACCAATGATCCCAGTATCCCTCCCACCACCCCCACCCCAGTCCTCCTACTCCACCCTGCCTCTGTGGCAGGGCATTCCCCTTTGCTCTCCCTCTCTCTCTATCTCTCTCTGCTCCCTCTCTCTGTCTCTCTCTCTCTCTCTCTCTGTCCTTTGGGTGTTGTCCCACAGTAAATTTTATATTTCTCATTGAGGTTGAACGTTTTTAGATTTATTCAGCTCATGCAAAATGCTCTTCCTCTTTTTCCTTGACGGCACTTTTACCGAAATCTGTCATTTTAATTTAAAAGAAATTTCCCTGTAGAGAGAATAATTGTCTTGTAGCTTTTTCTTCCGTGAAAATAAAAATACTAGCTTCAGCCCACAAAAGCCAATTTAATTTGCCACAGATATTTTATTAAATGAAATATTCAGAGGTTTGAGGGTTCAGAAAATGAAATATGATGTATTACCACTAGAGGGTAGTGTTTCTAATTTATATTTTCACAAATGAACAACCTGAATTTGATCTGATAAAGTAGTGATCAAGTATACTTTGATTTTAAAAATACCTTATTTTTATAATTTTAAGCAAGCCCTCTGAAGTTTTCTTTAATAACTCCGTGGAGATATTAAATGGATTAATTTATTTGCTTTTTAATTCACATTCTCTCTCTAGCCCATTATTCCTATGTTTACGCAAAATATTCGAGAAGGCTTTAGATCACTTGGAGGAACAAGTAAGTTCTGATCCGTAAGTTTTTTCTAGTTGTATTGTACTATTTAGAATAATTTTGAAATATTGGGACTTTTCTACCCTATATAAAATTTTTCCGAATTACCGCTTTAGATAATAGATATATTGGGTTTGTGACTTTGGCGTTGTTCAGTTTAAAGTCTGAATGCTGTTTGGTTCTAAATAACGGCAGTTCTTATGTGTCATAGATTCTTTCAAGGATCTCATACACAAAGCTTATTCGTCACAGAATTTTTATAATTGCAGAATGAATTGGCTAATCCACCGGCATGAAACACATCTTGGAGGGTCCGAACAGATCTCCATGTTACCAGACTCTCTCTCTGACTCGCCTCTGAGGAAGTTAGAGCTTTGCAACATGGAGGACACTGTGACGTTAATCAAGAACTACCAGGAAAGACAGAGCCGAGGCTTTGGCTTACCTGTTCTGTTCTTGCTTTCTGTTCTTGTATCAGAGCCCTTTCGATAGCAGACACGCAGCGTATGACGGTGTTCTCGGAGGGCTCGGGGCACGCAGTGCTGCCTCCCCCAGTCCAGCACCTGTCACCGTGTCCCCCCTCCTGCAAGTGGCAGGTGGCTCCGGAGAGACCTGTAGCAAGTGGTGACCCAGACTTTATCATAGAGTCAGGTTGGGTCCCTCCTGGGTACCACACGCATGCCTAATCTAGGGCCTGGGGTTAGCCCACCCTTGATACTTTCCATTTCCTTGTCTTGTTACACAGATCGGCAAGGACATCCGGTGCTTGTCTCTCTCTTCCGACTTCACTTAAACGTGGTTTCCTCCAGTTCCATCCAAGATGCAGGAAACTACACGATTCTACCCTTCCTTGCAGTTCACACACTATTCCACTGTGTGCGATTATACACTGCACCTTCCTTATTCAGTCATCTGCCCTCGGATACCTAGAACTAATATGTTTATATTGAGGAGGTTTTCTTCCCTGTTAAAAAAAATTTTTTTGAATCTAGTTTTAGGAATGATAGTATCTTTATAGTGTCTTAGTTGTTTCTTTTGAAATGTTTGTGTTTTTTTGGCTTTTTTTTTTGGGAGGGGGGTCACACCTGGCAATGCACAGGGGTTACTCCTGGCTCTGCACTCAGGAATTACCCCTGGCGGTGCTCAGGGACCATATGGGATGCTGCGAATCGAACCCGGGTTGACCGCGTGCAAGGCAAACATCCTACCCACTGTGCTATTTCTCCAGCCCCTCTTTTGAAATTTTTATAGTTTTCTTTGTTCACTTTGGTTTTATGTATTATTCTATTGATTATATGTTATACTCCTAATATAGTATTGTTAATGTCCCTGTCTTCATATCAAATCTTCTGAAGGGACGGTAAACAGACTGTTTCTTGGATATTGGCATGTTGTTGTTCTAACATGTTTTCAGATCTTTTTTCCTTTTTATTTTCAGATTTAGAGTGGAAAAACAGATTGATGTATTGTTTATCTTTTGTTAAATTATTTATTAGAATCGCTCAGATCACTTTAGAAATCTAGATTTCATATCAGAAATTATACTGAACTTTCTTGAATTGCAAAAGGGTTTGAATGCGCCTTTTATGATTGCCTTTTCGCTTTCCCACAAATTGGGGTCCGGTGATTTTATTTTAATATTAATTCGGTTCTGAGGGCCTAGTCTGTGGCTCCATCTGTGATCTCTTTTAAACGCAGTACAGTTCATAATGGCACACGCATGTTGGCCTTTTCCTGATTCTTTTTCTTAAAAAAATACTTAGCTCATTGATTTACTTTACATTATTTTATCTTGCTCGAGCGGGCCCAGTAACGTCTCCATTGGAGACTTTGTTGTTACTGTGTCTGGCATATCGAATACGTCACGGGGAGCTTGCCAGGCTCTGCCGTGCGGGCGAGATACTCTCGGTAGCTTGCCGGGCTCTCCGAGAGGGGCGGAGGAATCGAACTCGGGTCGGCCATGTTGGCTGCGTGCAAGGCAAACGCCCTACCGCTGTGCTATCGCTCCAGCCCTTTTTATCTTAATCATACTTTTTTATCTTTTTATCTTAATCATACTAAATTTTTATCTTAATCATACTAAATTTCATATTTTGTCACTAGCATTCAGGATCGTTTGCTGGGCTGGAGGGGACGGTAAGCAGGAAGAGCACTGGCCTTGCTCCCCTCCCGGCAGGGGTTCAATCTCCAGAATCCCACATGGTCCCTGAGCCAGCCCAGGAGGGAAAGACGGTCATGGCCATGTGTCCAAAGTCAGAACACAAAAACAAACCTCCCAGAAGAGAGTTACTTGCTTTCTTTACTAGTATATTTCCACCTGATGTTTATATGCAGTTTTATATCTTTTTTTTTCTTTTTCCATTTTGCATTTGGGGCTACCCCTGGCTGTGCTCAGGGCTTCCTCCTGGCTCTGCTCTCAGGGTCCCTACTGGAGGGACTTTTGGGGACCTCATGGGGTGCCAGGGCTCAAACTCTGCTTAGCTGCATGGAAGACAAAAACCCTACCCCCTGGCCTGTTTTTCAAGCCCTTGTTTCCTTTTTTCCTTTATCAAAAAGAAAACGCACATATTTATGTGTCTCTGAACTCTTTTAGCTTCTAACATTTAGTTAAAGTCTTTATCCTCTGTTTTGCAATAATATAATTGAAAGGTTTTTTTTTTTTTTTTTTTAGTTAAAAGATCTCTTATTTTTTTATTTTTTATTTGGGTGGTGCTCAGGGGACCATATGGGATGCTGGAATCAAACCTGGGTTGGCCACGTGCAAAAGCCCTACTCGCTGTGCTGTTGCTTCGACGCCCAAGACCTTTTTTTTACTGTATTTATATTTACAGAAAAAAATGAGCAGAAGGCACAGAGAGTACTCAGAGATACCCTCACCACCTTCCAGTTTCTGCTATCACCATCGTGAAAAGTGCTTGTCCTTGTTATATTGAAGAAAGGCTGATCTTTAAAAAAAATATTACGCTAATTGCCAGGAAGTGAAACGATTTGCCTTATTTTTGTGATTATGTGTACGTTTATAATTGCATGATGAAAGTATCAATTATAATAATGATTTTATTTCTTTGCAGGGTTATTTAGGTGGCTTTACGAAAAATTTCGCTATCCATTTGCTCCCATGTATGGAGGCTTTCCGGTGAAGTTACGCACTTACTTGGGTGATCCCATTCCATATGACCCAAAGGTGACTGCAGAAGAATTAGCCGAGAAGGTAAGTGGTATAGTTGTTTTGTTTTTGCCTTTTGAGTTTGGGGCCACGCCCGGCAGTGCTCAGGGCTTACTCCTGGCTCTGTGTGTTCAGGGCTTACTCTTGGCATGACTTAGGGACCAGATGGGTGCCAGGGGTCGAACCTTGGTCAGTCCCACACGAGGCATGCATCCTATCTGTTGGACTGTTGCTACAGTCCTAGAACCATTTTGTTGAGGTCCAGGATTTACAATACCGTTAATCGCACCACATCCATCCCCAGAGTTCACTTCCCTCTCAAGTTGACAGATCTGCCATGTCTTAGAGGCATTCATTCGTATGTAAATTCCGTTTTTGATCTTGCTGCTTTCATTATTCTGTCTTTGACTTTTGTCATTCTGAGTGCAGTGTGTCTTAGTTTTTCTGTCTGGTCTGTTTTTGGGGGTCTCCCGGTGGTAAGTCTTTCTCTGTGGTATCTTTACATGGTGGTTCTTGCAACACTAGCCTTCCTGTTCGTCAAGGGCTCTAGAGAGTCTTACCTGCTTCTTCTTGAACGTGTCCATGGTTCTCTGGTGTGCTGCTCATATTTTTCTGACTTTTTTCCATCCTCTGTTGTTTTTTAGAGAGTTCCCGAATTTCATCTTAGAACTCTTCAGTCTTCTCAGCTGCTGTTATTCAGCCCTGCTCAGCCTTCCTGTTGAGTTGGGTTTTGTTATCACCTGCAGTGCTCTTCATTTCTGTCACTTCTGATTATAGTTTTCTCATTGCAGCCCTCATACTTCCTTGTTCTTGGCCAACTCCGTGTGCTATTATTTCTTTGAGCTCATTAAATATCCTCACCGTGGTGTCACTCAAGTCACTCTGAAAATTGACAGAGCTGGTTCCTGCTGGTCAAGCCTTCTGTGGTAGTGTCTTCCCTCCCTGAGCTTGGTGGGCTTCTGCACGTGTTCTCCTGTGCTGTCTGCTGTCTTCCTGCTGTGAATCTCTAGTTACACCCCTGGAAGCCTGTGGGGCAGACCGGGAGTCGCTTGTCTTTATCCTGCCCTTCACCCGATAACAGGAGGTGTCGCTCTTGGGAGAGCAGTTGCATGGCCGCCTACGAGGCCAGGGGTCATGGGATGTGGCGCTGGGCTGGTTGGGAAGGCAGGGGCGAGGCGTGGGGCTTTCAGTTACTCATTCTTAGCTGAGCACATATTTTCTGCTTTAATTTCTATATCAGATTTTCACTTAATCCATTTACTGTACTAGAATGTTCGTGATCCAGGGTGATTTTACCCAGGCTCATTTGTCAGGGTCTGGAGGCATTTTTAGACAGACAGGACAGGAGAGAGAGAGAGAGAGAGAGAGAGAGAGAGAGAGAGAGAGAGAGAGAGAGAGAGAGATGGGAAGTGGTTGGAACACATTCTGATTGTATTGATTTGATCTTTTTGGGTTTGGTTTTGGGGCCACACCCAGCAGTGCCCAGGGCTTATTACTGCTGGCTCTGTGCTCAGAGATCTCTCTGGTGGGGCTCCGGGGACCGTATGGAGTGCCACGAATCAAATGCAGGTCGGCCGCGTGCAAGGCGAGTGCCCCGGCTGCTGTCCCAGAGCTCTGCCCCCGTGGGACAGACTTCCTTTACTGCACGGCTCAGCCTTCTGCACAGTGCAGGGCTGCCTGCTCTCTGATGTCACTAGTCTGGAGTTAGAAAATCCCGTTCCTGGCTATGATCAAGACTTGATTCAGTAAGTGATATTCAGAGGAGGAAAATTTTGACTTCTGTGACCGCACAGAAATTGGTCTTGTCAGGTAAAAATATCTTGAAATGAGAGTGGGGCCGTGTTGGAGAGCGGCGTTACATCCCGGAGGCCGGTGGGTTGTAAGTCAGGTTTCCTCTCCCGAGGTCTGTGTTCTAAAGTCAGTTGCTCCTGGCTGCACTGTTGGCTTTGTGGGACCCTGCGCCTGGCTCCCCTCCCTCCCGCCCCGCACATCGGGGCAGGGAGAGTGTCTGCACCTGGAGGTCACACTGAGACCCCCCGAGGTTGCTTCTGTCTGTTGAGAATAGTGTCTGTCCTGTAGAAAGTGTCCCCGGGTGGTCACTACTCCTCTGGACGAGGAACTTGGGTGACGGGGAGAGAGGTCCTTCCGTCCCTTTCGCCAGAGTCTCCGAGGTGATGAGTGTCAGCACAAGGGCGTGTCGATAAGGCATTTTGTGGGAGGACAGTTCTGTGCTCCTCAGCACTGCAGGGTGTTTGCCTGTGCCCCGTCCACTGCTTCTGCCACGGCAGCTACAGCCTGCTGCTTGCTTTCACCGCAGCGAGAAAGACCCGTAGGCATCGCCCTCTGAGAACGGGCGAGGAGCGTCCTGCCGGAGGGGCACCCCAAACGCTTGCAAAAGCAGCCGGTCTGGCCCCGGTGCATGATGGGACGGACGCATGTGTGCTTCTTGTCAGCCGCCTGCCTGGATCGTGTGACCTGCAAACGATGCCGTCATCATCTAAATGGCCATGGGCAAAAAAAATAAATAAATAAAAAGTTTTCTTCACCCCCCACTTTGGTTTTTTTTCGTTTTGTTTTGTTTTTTAAACCTGAGGACATTTTTATTCATTTGAGTTATATTTTTAAAACAAACAAAAGTAATGGAATATCATGCTCTGGACCCCCAGAGAAAGTCAGAAGACTGCTGGTAGCAAAGACTGAGACCACTTGCAAAATATTAAAACTGCTGAATACAAGGCTCTACACTCACAAAGGACAACCAGAAAAGAAGAAAAAGTGTCTTCTTTTTTTAAAACGTAGGAGTACGGCTATTTATTCAGCCACTGATTAGGCTGATTGAATTTTGCGTGAACCCCCACTTTGGAGCAAAATCTTCACTGGTTGAGAAGAGCCGCCTTAGAGTATTTGAGAAGGACAGAGGAAAGGAGTCTAACCTCGATCAGAGTTGCCTCTTGAGCACTTGAATAGTTGATACTCGAATTGGGTTTTGAGAGGCAAGAATGGATTAGCTGGAGAGAGAGTCCTGAGGTCGAGGAAACGGAATGGCTTAAGGAAGGGCAGCATGAGCCGGGTGAAATCTTTGGTGGGGTTCAGTGTGTGGAGGAGATGTCATGGAGATGAGTTTCAGAGGTAGGGATGGCGTTGACCATGAGGACCGGGAACTGACTAGTGTCTTGAAAACCAGCAAACTGGTGTGTCAGTGTTTAGGAGAAAGCGGGATGCCATGTGAGGGGTGGAGGCTGCGTTGGGTTGAGGCCAGGGGTCTAGAGACTCGGTGAAGGAGAACAGTGGAAGCCTCTTGGGTGGGGCATTTGCAGTGCCTCCTTACAGACGGCCATGACCTGGCCAAGAGAGTTGAGGAACGGAAGAGGGTGAGCGGAGAATCGTGTTCAGTGCTCACAGCTGTTAGGAAAAATGAAGTCATGAAATTCTCTTATAGATGGATGGACATGAGTAGTGTCGTGCAGAGTCTGAAATGAGTCAGAGGTAGCGAGACCAACAGAGAATGGTGGCACTCATTTGCAGGATATAAAATAAACGTAGAAAGGAGGCCCGGAGGACTGGTCCGTGGTAGGAAACTTGCCGCAAGTCGGGAGGCAGTACAGTTAGGACAGAGAAGGGACCACAGAGAAGGGGCCGGCCACTATGACAGTGGTATTTGGAAAGGATCCCTCTAGACAAGAACCGAGTGCTGAAAGGGGGTAAAGGGATGTAACCATTCAGTAATGTTACTGCAAACCACAGTGTCTAAAAGGAAAGCGAGAGGAGGAGGGAGGGAGGGGGAGAGAGAGTGATGAGAGGAGAGAAGAGAGGGGAGGGGAAGGAAGAGAGAGGAGGGGAGAGTGCCTGCCATAGAGGCAGTCTGGGGGGTGGTAGAAAGAAATGAAACTGGGGACAATGGTGGTGGGACATGTACACTGTTGAAGAGGTGGGTATTGGAATCTTATATGACTGAAACCCAGTCGTGAACCACTTTGTGACTGTGTACCTCACGGTGAGTCAATAAAAAATAATAGTAATGAAAATAGAAACAGACCAGACATTACAGTGGGTAAGATCGGCACGACTGGCCCAGGCTTAATCCCGGTACCACATATGATCTTTGAGCTCAGAGCCAGGAGTAAGTCCTGAGCCACACCGGGTGCACCCAAGAACCAAACAGAAGTGGTTGTGATTACCAATGCTGAAATATCAGAAAGCTTTTCCCCATGGCTTCTTCTAGGACTTTTATAGCTGTAGACTAATGCATCGTCTTTATTCTGTTTTAAATGTTTTTTTCTATTGGACCAGCTTTTCTATTGGGGAGTGTCTGTTTTACTGGTTTATGACATCACCATGTTATTGTAGCTTTGTACATTTATTTGGGAAGGGGTGGGGGGTGGGGAAAGGGATTGTATCTTACGCATTTATTTATTTTGGTTTTCGTGTCACCCCTGGCTAGTGCTCAGGGGACCATATGGGGTGGCAGGGATTGGACCTGACACAGGCCCACCCACACAGGGCAAGCATTGTCCAGACCCTGGGCTGAATTTTTTTTTTCAATTTATTTTTATAAAGTCATTCATGATTTATTACATTTAGTATTCCAATACCAATCCCACCACCATGATTTCCAATTTTCCCAACCACCCTTCAGACCTGCCCCTTTAGCAGGCCCTGAATAATTTATTTTATAGTGCTTATTAAAATTCGATGAAAATGATCAAAAACATTTCCAGAGGGCAGGAGTGATAGCGCAGTGGGGAGGGCGTTTGCCTTGCATGCGGCTGACCTGTGTTCGATTCCCAGCATCCCATATGCTCCCCTGAGCACCGCCAGGAGTAATTCCTGAGTGCAGAGCCAGGAGGAACCCCTGAGCATCGCCAGGTGTGACCCCAAAAGCAAAAAAAAAAACAAAACAAAAAAAAACAAAGAAAACTTGTTTGGGGCTGGGGCGATAGCACAGCGGGTAGGGCGTTTGCCTTGCATGTGGCCAACCCAGGTTCGATTCCCAGCATCCCATATGGCCCCCTGAGCACAGCCAGGGGTAATTCCTGAGTGCAGAGCCAGGAGTAACGCCTGAGCAACACCGGGAGTGACCCAAAAATTAAAAAAAAAAAAAAAAAGACCATTTCCAGAGAAGAATGATGCTCTGTGTGCATAGTGTAATTCAGGGCTCTGGTCAGCCCACTGGGGAAGGCATTTATCTCCTCTCCCTTAAGAGTAAGACCCCAGCGCACTGGCCGGTAGGGTTGGCCGTGGCCCTTCTGGTGGGCTTGGGTCCCCTGCGGCCTTGTTTCCCACAGGGCTTCCGGCACCTCCCCGGGACCGGGCTTTTGCCTCCACGCTTGACTGTTGCTTTTCCCACAGCTCCGCGGCAGGCGTGTTCTTGTCGCTAGAACTGCGTCCCCTCTCGCTTTAGTGTTTCCCCTGCCTCTCTCTGAAGGTAGAAGTGGGTCAGGACGCACTGGGAGCAGTTTTTACGTCAACCCTGTCTTTATGGACCACACAGAGGGGAGGGAGTTGGGGGGAGGAGGCCTGTTCTCAAGTGTGCTGATTCTGGTTCAGAAGGTTCCTCAGTGGCCTGAGAGGAGCGACGCTCCCTCTTTATTTATTTATTCATTTATTTTTTAAATTTTACTGAATCTGCAGAATAATCAGGCTGGAGCGATAGCACAGCGGATAGGGCACTTGCCTTGCGCTCAGCCAGCCTTATCGAGCCGGGTTCGATTCCTCCGCCCCTCTCGGAGAGCCCGGCAAGCTACCGAGAGTATCTCGCCCGCACGGCAGAGCCTGGCAAGCTCCCCGTGACATATTCGTTATGCCAAACACAGTAACAACAAGTCTCACGATGGAGACGTTACTGGGCCCGCTCAAGCAAATTGATGAACGGGAGGACAGTTTCATCATTTCATCACAGTTTTTATTGAATCACCGCGAGATAGTTATAAGCTTTCATGTTTGGGTTACAATCACACAATGATCAAACCCCCATCCCTCCACCAGTGCACATTCCCCACCACCAATATCCCAGGTATAACCCCCCTTTCCCACCCTCCCCCTGCCTCCATGGCAGACATGATTCCCCATAATCTCTCTCTACTTTGGGGCATTATGGTTTGCAATACAGACCCTGAGAGGTTATCATGTTTGGTCCTTTATCTGTTTTCAGCACATATCTCCCATCCTGACTGTTTCCTCCAGCCATCTTTTTCTCAGTGATCCCTTCACTGATCCAGCTGCCTTCTTCCCTTTGCTCATGAGGCAGGCTTCCAGCTATGGAGCAATCTATCTGTCCCGTGTATCTACTATTCTTAGGAGTCAGCCTCATGTTATGTTGTTTTATACTCCACAAATGGGCTGGAGCGATAGCACAGCGGGTAGGGCATTTGCCTTGCATGCGGCCAACCCGGCCGACCCGAATTTGATTCCTCTGCCCTTCTCAGAGAGCCCGGCAAGCTACTGAGAGTATCTTGCCCGCACAGCAAAGTCTGGCAAGCTACCCGTGACGTATTCGATATGCCAAACACAGTAACAACAAGTCTCACGATGGAGATGTTACTGGGCCTGCTTGAGCAAATCGATGAACAACGGGAGGACAATAACAGTGACAGCAACTCCACAAATGAATGCAGTCCTTCTATGTCTGTCTCTCTCTTTCTGACTCATTTCACTTAGCATGATACTCTCCATGTCTATCCATTTTTAAGCAAAGTTCATGACTTCTCTCCTGACAGCTGCATTGCTCCCTCTTATGGGCTGGAAGTGTCCCGGCCGCTTTCCAACCCGCTCTTTCCCTCTGCAGTTCCTTTGACTGTGTGGGTGTGTGCGAAGGCCTGGCTGAGCGCAGTGCTGGGGATCTCTGAGGGGCATCTTGAGGCGCTGACGTGGCCCGTGCATGAAATAGCCCCGTGGACAGTGACTGTCACAGAAACGTAATAAACCAAATCCAAAGCAAGGGAATAGACAGTATTGGATCAGGACAAACCTTAGTCCTGGCATTACAAAACTGATTTAACGTGTGTGTGCGTGTGTGTGCGTGTGTGTGTGTATGTGTGTGTGTGTATGTGTTGGGGGGTGGAATGAATAAAGGGGAATGACAATCAGACCAGAAGTGACATGGAGACAGGGACAGGGGTCACGTGCACTTTGCTGTTGGTGAAGGTGTGGTGATTCTGTAATTTTGTGCCGCAGTGCCATAAAACCTAACAGTATTGTGACCATATTACTTAACCATCATTTAAATTTTTATTGCCTTATTAAGAAAGTCTAACAAAAGATAATAAGTGTGCTGGGAAGGAAATGGTTATTTCCGAGGGAGCTAAATTAGGATGGAATCTTCAGAGTGGTGGTACTAAAATAATTGTTAATGATATGTTGAGAAGTAGAAGAATAATTGCCTTCCTTTTGTTTTCTTAATAGACGAAAAATGCTGTTCAAGCTTTGATTGATAAGCACCAAAGAATACCAGGAAACATCATGAGCGCGTTGTTAGAACGTTTTCATAAAAAGCAAAAGATCAACTAGAAGATGATTCAATACATTTATAATACTGGGTTTGTGTCTGTAGTACTGTCTTCTGAATTTTATAGGCCCTGTAGTATTTTTTTGAACAATCATGCTGATAGAATTTTTCACTGAACTTTGTTTAAAATTGTATTAATTTGGTTTTGCAATCAATGTGTCAAATGTAAACAATAACTCATTACATGCTGAATAATGAAAAAAACTTGTGTTTTCTCATAAATTCTTAATCATGTGTGATAAGCCATATAGATTCCTGAAGTTAAGATTATTAATAAAAGCAATTTAGGTTCAAACAACATTCCCAAATAATGCATCTTGTTTCTGTTGCAGTGAGCTAATTCCGTGAGGTGAACTAACCTAGCTTAGTACAGATTCTTAGTTAGAAAGAAATGCTTGTTTTATCTGTCTGCCATTCCTTTTATGATCTTAGGCTAATCCGATTGTGTTTTGGTGCCTCAGCAATGCACTTTTCAAAAACATGTTAATATGGTGAGGAATCTTCTTTTAAATAATTACTGTAATTTATAGCTGTAGGACATAAGTCATAACTAAATTAAATAACTCCAAGACCTTTTGAAGTTTATGTATATATTTTGTCCACAGAATGTGTAAATTATTCCTGCAGTATGATGTCCAGTTGCCAAGCACAATAAAAAAGATGTACTGTTTATCAAACTGAACTTAACTCGGGAAGGCAGAATTTTCTAATTGTTATTATGAGTATTTTTTTAATGAATGTAGACAAACAATATAGTGTATCTTGTGCATTGTTCGCCCTAGAATACGGCACAAAGGCTAAATATGAGGTTAATGTGGGGTTCAAATCACTGTGTTCTCTGTTTCTTAAGCTCGAAAGTGAATCCAGGCTGATGGAAACAGAATATAGAAAAATTGTATCTTGCCCAATTTCATGACTTAATCAAATGGCTGTTTCAGTAAAACTGCATTTAATGATTAATTTATGTGAGCCAAAGTTTCTGGAAAGTGAATGGCTTTTGATTCAGGTTTTTTGCTGGTTGATTTTGGTTTTGGGGGTCACAACCGCAGTGCTCAGGGCTTCCTCTTGGCTCTGCACTCAGGAATTACTCCCGGTGACGCTTGGGGGCCACGTGAGATGCCAGGGATGGAATCTGGGTCGGCCACATGCAAGGCAAATGTCCTCCCCACTGCACTGTCTCTCTGGCCCTGCGTTGTTGTCACCTAGGAATCTGAATTTTAAAAGTATTGAAACAGAATTATGCCAGAAGTCAGATGCAGTATCTTCCTTTCCTTTTTCAGATGTTAAATTACTGGGAATTTTGTATAAGTTTTTGTATCATACCTAGGTACGTATGCTTAAGTAATGTATATGAAGCTGAACAGCATAAAAATAAAAGTAGAACTGAGTTGCAATTCATCCTGTGAAACTGTGTGACCTTTATCGTTTAGAATATTTCATTTGCTTTTCTGTTTGTACATTCCCATTCTCAACCATATTGACCTATTTCAGGCACAGATAGGATATTGGGACTACAACAAAAGAAATGATTTCAAAATCCCTATACTTTATTTTTTTAACTTTTTTTTATTGAATCACCATGAGATAGACCCTCACAAAGCTGTGCACGACTGTTTTCAGTCTTACGGTGCTCCAGCACCCGTCCTTCCACCAGTGCACATTCCCAGCACCAGTGCCCCCCGGATCCCTCCCATCACCCCCCACCCCCGAATGCCTGCCTCTGTAAGATCCCTGTGCTTTAAAGAGCAAAGGCAAATTCAATAAAATAATCAAGACTCCTTAATATTTTTTAAAAGACATTACTCTCATCACCTGTATAAAGCTTAACATTGCAAAAATCGCAGAATCAAAACTCCTGAGTTTTAAACCCTGAGTCAAAAAACCTTAAATTTGAGCAGGGCCTTCACATTTCCAACCCAACCCAAATCCCTTGTTTTTGTTTCTTTCTTTTTTTTTTTCTTCTTGGGGGCCACACCCAGCAGTTCCAGGGCTGAATTCCTGGCTCTGCTCTGGGATCACTCCTGGTGGGTCTCAGAGAACCATCAGTGGTGCCGGGAATGGAGCCTGGGCCGACCGAGTACAAGGCAAGTGAGTGCTTGATTGTGCTCTCTCGTGCCCCCCTCCCATCCTTGCTCCAGTGGAGATGACTGGTTTCTAACTGTGATGCTTTCAAAACGTGCACAGGGAAGTGGGGTGTGATGTTCACAGCCGGGAAACAGGGAGACTCTGTCAGGTCATTGAGGTCATTTCCGAAAAATGTAGGACGCAATGCTTAATAACTTCTGTTAAATAAAGGGACAAGTGCAGAGCGTTTCAGTCTTAAATTAATTCAGCATCTTAGAACATAAAAGATAAAGAGCTCAGAGGCCCAGTGGCTCAGTGGTAGGAGCACTTGTCTTGCATTTAGTCTCACAGGCCCTGGTGTCTTCCTGATAGGCCTCGCCCCTCCAAGGCAGTCCCTTCCCCGTGCAGTGTCCTCTCCAGGGCCACACACACACACACACACACACACACACACACACACACACACACACACACTCACACACTCGCACTCGCACTCACACTCACACACTCACTCATGCAATCACTGTGCGAGCCCCATGGCCAGCAGCCCATGTGAGACCCCTGGACCCCACGGCCACACCTGTACGTGCGTAGGTAGGGACGGCCACAGAGGCCGCGGCCTGTGTGCGCCCATCAGCCCCGGCAGTGTGTGAGCTTTGGAGAAGGGAAAGATGCTTCTAGAACCGGGGGCATGATGTATGTCTCAAAGTTATTAGGCCTCATGTGTAGGTCTTGATTTTTTTAATTCCATCTGTGTTCAGGGCTTCCTCCTGGTTGTACCATTCCAGATTGTTCCTGGTGGGCTTGGGGGACTGCATGGGATTCCCAGAATTGAACCCAGGGCCCCCACATGCTGGGCATTTGTTCTAGCTTTGGGTGCTATTTCCAGGCCCTCGCTTGGGTCTCTCCTGTTTTGAGACCCCACTCGGCGGTGATCCTGGCCCTGGTGGTGCTCAGGAGGGTGCTGGGGCTCTAACCCGGGTCGGCCTCGTGCAAGGACGCCCTCCCCGCTGTTCTGCCTCTGACCCCATCTTGGTGTCTCCAGCTAAGGCTCTCTTCTTGTTCCTGAGCCATCCTGGGACTTTGCAGTCACACTCCTTGGCCCGACTCCCTCATCCAGGGGCCTCTCCCTGGGCCCCTTTCCCCCCATCCCCAGGTGACAGAAGGAGCCTCTTCTCTCCAGGCCATCTGGTACACAGTCGGGTGTAACCGTTGCAAATGAGAGCCTCTCTCTCCTAAAGAGACCGGCCGCGGGGCTGTGGGCAGAGTCAGGAGAAGGAACGGGACAGGGACGCTGAGCCCCAGGCCCTGTCAGTGCAGTAGCCCAGGGCCTGGGAAGGGATGCTGGTGGCCCAGGAAGGCCAACGGTGAGCGGGGAAACAGCGCACACACGCTGTCCTGCCCACCCTCATGCAGTCCGCTGCTTTCTCCCTCTCGACCGTTCCTGGGCCTCAGGGAGGCGGGTTCCTTACTGTATGGAGCCAGGATGAGAAAGGCAGGGAGTAGTGTGGGGAAGAGCCCTCAGGAAGTGGCGGGGATGGGAGTGGTCGGGGCTGCAAGAAGCAGAGCTGCTTGGCTTTCTGGGAGGACTGTGAGCAGGACCAGCGCTGTCCAGGGGCCGAGTGCTGGGATCCTGGCTGGGGGTAAAGACATTTGAAGAAAGAGGCCTAAGACCAAGAAATAATGGGGCTGGAGCGATAGCACAGCCTGTAGGGCATTTGCTTGCATGCGGCCGACCCGGGTTCGACTCCCAGCATCCCATATAGTCCCCCAGGCACCACCAGGAGTAATTCCTGAGTGCAGAGCCAGGAGTAACCCAAAAAGAAAAAAAGAAAGAAAAATATTTGGAGAAACAAAACTACGTGGGGCCATGCGGTACTAGGAACAGAAACTGGAGCGCTCACATGCTCTGGGTGTTAGTGCCCCTCCATTGCCTCCTAGGCAATTCTTTTTTTAATTTTTTTTTTTTCTTTTTGGGTCACACCTGGCAATGCACAGGGGTTACTTCTGGCTCTGCACTCAGGAGTTACTCCTGGCGGTGCTCAGGGGACCATATGGGATGCTGGGAATCGAATCTGGGTCGGCCGCGTGCAAGGCAAATGCCCTACCCGCTGTGCTATCTCTCCAGCCCCAATTCTTTTTTAAATTTTTTTTTAATTCATAAAATTTTTCTTTTTTTTTTTTTTTTTTGCTTTTGCTTTTTGCTTTTTTGGGTCACACCCAGCAATGCACAGGGGTTACTCAGAGCTTTGCACTCAGGAATTACTCCTGGCGGTGCTCGAGGGACCCTATGGGATGCTGAGAATTGAACCCAGATCGGCCACATGCAAGGCAAACGCCCTACCTGCTGTACTATCGCTCCAGCCCCCCTTCCTTTCTTTATTCCTAACAGAACTCAGATTTTCTCCAGATAGTCACCCTTTTCTTTGGGGAGTCAGTGTGTCTCCGTGGGTGCTGACCTGACTTGTAATTCCAGAGGTGGTGCAGTTGATCTACAAATGATGGCATGACCTCGATTTGTTTCTTTGAACCTAGAGGGAGAGGAGAGAAGGTGATGGGAAGGAAGCTTGGGGAAATCGCTTTCTCCTGTTTACGCACACGATCCCGTCTCCTTATCTGGATTTATTGTCTTGACCCCCAAGTCTTAGATTTACTGTGAGCTTCTCACTCCCTGCCTGGCATGGGGTGAGCATAGGGAGAGTCCAGAGAGATTTCTGAAACAACCATTCTTCCAGGGGACTTCCAGGTACACGGACCAATTACCTTCTCTCTTGTTAATAGTTTTGGTTATTTTCCTTACATTTTCTGACTAGTTGAAGATAAATGAAATGTGCTGAGAAAAGCGTAGAGAGAACCCTCCATGCACCGACTTCGGCAGAATCTTCATTGAGATGAGTCCACTGGCAAAAAAAAGCAACAATTAAAAACAAATGAAATGGGGCTACGTCAAACTCAAGAACTTCTGTGTGCACAAGTTTGGCTGCCCCCAAAGAGAAAACACTCGGGGGAAAATATTTGCATATCATATGTAGGTTAACTGATGGAACAAAGGCATGCGGGTCCTGGGGCTGAGACCTCCAAGCCTGCTCGGATCGGGGCTGAGCATCCTCCACCCAGATCCTCCACCTTCCAGTAGGCAGGGGTCACACCCACCAACTGCCCCTGGCGCTGTGTAATCCCATCAACGGCCAAGACCCAGAGACTATAAAACCCAGCTCCCACAGCCACACAACATCTTATTATTTCATTCTTGCTTTTGACAACCTGGCAGGCTACCGAATGTTACCCACCCACACAGCAGAGTCTGGCAAACTCCCCGTGGCATACCCAATATGCCAAATACCAGTAACAATGAGGGGTCTCGTTCTCCTAACCCTGAAAGGGCCTTGAATATGGCACTTTAAAATCTCAGGGCTAGGACAAAGGAGACGTTATGGTACCTGCTCGAGGCAATTGATGAACAACAGGATGATCGTGATCGTGATCATATGTAGGATAAAGGGAAAACTTCCAGAATTCACATCCAAGCCAGGCATGAGACATGGGTTGAGAGACACTGTACGTAGGATGTTGGACTGTACGTAGGACATTGTACATAGGACGAGTGACATTGTACATTGTAAAAGGAGGGGCCTGGACTCCGGGGAGGGACGTGGACCCAGTTGCTTAAACTACAAAATCAACTTCAACTTTTTAAGCAGTTGAGTTCTGTCTACCAATCTTTCATATAATTCTCAAGAATCCATGAATTCAGGAATAAATCAACTTCTGTGTTAACAAAATTACCGTATAAGTAATTTCTAAATATGTAACCTTGCCCTCAAGCAACCGATATTTGTGTGTGTATATATATACAGTATCTGTATATGTACATATGTATATATATATATGTATACAGATAGATTCTTTTTTCTGTTTTTATTTTCTGGCCACACCCAGTGGTGCTCAGGGCTTGTTCCTGGCTCTGCACTCAGAGGTTATTCCCGGGAGGCCCAGGGACCTCTCTGGGTTGTGGAAAATCAAGCCTATCTTGGCTGTGTTTAAGGTAGAAACCTCACTGCTGTAGTATCTCTCTTGATTCTGTTTCTCTGGAGAACTCATTTTGTTCTTATTTTTCACTGTTGTTTTGAGATCTTATTTTTTTAAAAAAAATTTTATTTTGGGGGCTGGAGAAACAGTACAGCGGGTAAGGCCTTGCACGTGGCCGACCTGGGTTCGATTTCCAGTATCCCATATGGTCACCCCAAGCACCGCCAGGAGTAATTCCTGAGTGCAAAGCCAGGAGTAGCTCCTGTACATTGCTGGGTGTGACCCAAAAAGCAAATAAATAAATA